AATTTGACAGTTCTAAAGCAGTTCCACCTCCGACACGTCATAACAACCGCTATGCGGATGTCGGCTAAAGCGGATCTGATTGGATAGAGCCCCATAATTTTGAATATTTTCTGTAATTATTCTCACTTTGAAAATGTTGAGTCGGTTGTGTCGAACTGTAAGAGAAAAAAAATCTAATTTAATCATTCTTTTAAAATATAATTTTAAAGCAGCAAAATGTAAAGACTGTGCGAGGGGTGTGTACATGTTCACTATCAACTGTAGACGAACATCAATTGTAAAAACATTTCTATCCTCTTTTACTCTAGAGAACAAAACAACACACACCAGACCCTACAGAAGGTTATTGTAATCAAGGGGAAGCAGGGAAATTTTGGGGCCTTGGGCACTTAGAAATGGGTGAATGCCAAATGGTGGCTGGTGGCAAATTTTTAAATCGGAGGACGGGTTTATAGTTTATAGTTCCATGTTGATACCATTCCATTTCACTCCATTCCAGACATTATTATAGACGTTTTCCCCCCCTCCCCCCCAGCCTCCCCCGGAATCTTACAACTAACAAGTATTTAAATTTTATATTTTTAAAAGGGTAAAAGGGGGGAGAGTGATGAGACCATGTACTCTCAGAGTAAAACGCTGATTCTCAATGATTGACTATCTAACATGAGTCCCCAAAGTTTGTGTTGGGAAAAACCCTGACAAAATACCCCGTAGAGAGTGGGTTTCTAACAGAAGGAACGGTAATTCCGTTATATGTCGGACACTGCAGTTTTGTTGTTTGTAAAATAAAAATAAACTCCAACCATCACGGGAGTTCCGAGGGACACTGATGGAATCAAACTAGTAGTACTCTCTAAAAAGCACAAATTCAACATTTACATTTACATCCCGTATTGGAAAACCGTTTCTGTTTCTACTGTGAATGCTATGCTAGGGTGGCCGATTGACGACTCGTTGATGAAATGGGAGATATCTATTGATAATGTCTACCTGAGAATGTGGTGGTGAAGTCCAGGAAGGGTTTCACTTCTCCCCTCTCAGTTGCCTGACACCTCCACTTCCTGCTTCCTGTTGTTGTCCCTCCTTCTGGAGAGGCACAGTCAGAAGCCATGGTTACACCTCAAGATGATCCGATCACTGTCTGATTCCCTGGCCCCTCCCCCTTTATTCCACAAGCAGTATAAATCGACAAACAGCACACTTTAATAGTCAATCGGTTTCGTTTTTTTTCCTCATCATTACAGCCTGTATTGTATCCACATTTAGCGGAGAAAAGCCTACTGCCGTATCCTCCACTGTCACAGCCGTACAAATATAGAATTTAATACTCGTTTAAAAACAGATTAAAACCGCTTTGTAGCCTACCGTGCTTGTTTTGCGGCAGGCTCTAGTCGTAACAGCCACGACCTGGGAACCATGGGGCGGCGACAATGGCCCAGCGTGTTTCTCAGGGTAGGGGAGGGAATGGCCGGCTGGGATTTCTACTCAGTTAGAGCATGGGCGTTTGCAAGCCACGTTGGTTCGATTCCCACCGTGAGGGCCAGTAGAAAAATATATAATAATGTATGCACTTAAATGTAAGAATCATCTGGATAAACGTCTGCTAAATGACTAAAATGTAAATGGTAATGTATTTTAAAGCAGTCTTATGAAGATAGGATACCAAAATCAGTATTTTGAAGAATCTCTAATATGATGGCCTATTATAAAACCAATGATAAAAAAACATGGATAAAAAGAGAATACTATTGCTTTCTAAAGGAATAAAGTGTAACATTTTAAAGTAGCCTAAAGAGTCCTTCATATTGTAGCCTACGTCATATTGGACAGGCTCATGCTTACAGAAAGCGCCTTTACACATCAGTTTGGACAATATTGTGCACTTTATTGCTAGCTATTTGTCTGGAAAATGCAAAAAGATTCACAGAATATAATATAATATTATAAAATCTAAAAGGATTGCATTATATTCACTAGAGATATCCGTTTTTTGTTGTTGTTGTTGTTTTGTTGCATGGGCTGTGTCTCAATCCACCGCATCCGCCTGTGTCACCCTTCCTCATCTGTGGTGGAAGGTGGCCGAGCTACAGCGGTGTTTTGTCAAGACCAGGAGACGTCCCGAAAATCGGTCTTCTCACGGAAACATCTGTAGCGTCCGAACGGTTTTTGGCCTAACTATTATGAAAAGATGAGACTCTCAAGAAACACAATGGTGTTCTGCTCTACGACCCCCACAAGTGTCACGGGACTAGTCTGAAGGTAACCCATACAAACTAATGGAAGTATGGTCGTTTTGTGCCAACAGAAATAAGGGGTTAAATGTGTCCAAAAAAAAACTTAAATATTTCCTGATCTTTCTTATGTCTCCTAGTTATAGGACAGACACTTCAGAACCTTATTCCTTGTGATTAATTTTTTGACTGTCTTTTTGGTTCTCTGCAGAAAGGGTTCTACATGGAACCCAAAAGGGTTCTAAACAGGCTTTATCCTATGGGGACAGCCGAAGAACCCTTTTAGGTTCTAGATAGTGTAGAACAGAAAACCAGCAGTACTCCGGCCCTCCTAGGGTAAGATTTGGTCCTCTGTAGCTCAATTGGTAGAGCACAGCGCTTGTAACGCCCAGGGTAGTGGGTTCGATCCCCGGGACCACCCATACGTAAAAATGTATGCACACATGACTGTAAGTCGCGTTGGATAAAAGCGTCTGCTAAATGGAATATTATTATTATTATTTTAATACCCCTGGTATTGCCCATCTTTACCATGGTAACTCAACTGTTTCTTTTGTTTGGTTGCAAAATGCAAATGCAAATACAAAACTGTGTGAAATGACTCTGTTCCTTTTACTGACATTCTGTGGTGGAACTAAAAAGACAACTTATGACCATTTCTCTCTCTGCCCAGCCTCAGAAAAACAGAAGTGGTCTGAGCTGAAGGACCAGTGTTGCTGACACGTGTGTGTGTGTGTGTGTATGTCCGTGTGTGTATGAATGTGTGTGTGTGTGTGTGAATGTGTGTGTGTGTGTGTGTATGCAGGTCCGTGTGTGTGTGAATGTGTGTGTGTGTGTATGCATGTCCGTGTGGTGTGTGAATGTGTGTGTGTGGTGTATGCATGTCCGTGTGTGTGTGAATGTGTGTGTGTGTATGCATGTCCGTGTGTGTGTGAATGTGTGTGTGTGTATGCATGTCCGTGTGTGTGTGAATGTGTGGTGTGTGTGGTGGTGAATGTGTGTTGTGTGTATGCCGGTGTGTGGTTGTGTGGAATGGTGTGTGTGTGTGTGTATGCATGTCCGTGTGTGTGTGAATGTGTGTGTGTGTGTGATGCATGTCCGTGTGTGTGTGTGGTGTGTGTGTGTGTGTGTGTAGCATGTCCGTGTGTGTGTGTGAATGTGTGTGTGTGTGTGTATGCATGTCCGTGTGTTGTGTGTGGTGAATGTGTTGTGTGTGTGTGTATGCAGGTCCGTGTGTGTGGTGTGTGTATGCAGGTCCGTGTGTGTGTGTGAATGTGTGTTTGTGTGTATGCATGTCCGTGTGTGTGTGAATCAAATCAAATCAATTTGTGTGCAATGCGCGAATACAACAGGTGCAGCATAAGTGAAATGTACTTACCAGAATGATGTCCGTGTGTTGTGTGTTGTGTGTGTGTAGTGCATGTCCGTGTGTGTGTGTGAATGTGTGTGTGTGTGTATGCAGGTCCGTGTGTGGGTGTGTGATGTGTGTGTGTGTGGTATGATGTCCGTGTGTGTGTGATGTGTGTGTGTGTGAGAATGTGTGTATGTGTGTGTGTGTGTGTGTGATGCATGTCCGTGTGGGTGTGTTGTGTGTGTGTGTAATGCATGTCCGTGTGTGTGGTGTGTGATGGTGTGTGTGTGTATGCAGGTCCGTGTGTGTGTGAATGTGTGTTTTGTGGTGTGTGTGTGTGTGTGTGCATGTGGTGTGTGTGTGTAGGTCCGTGAATGTGTGTGGTGTGTTGCTGTCCGTGGTGTGTGAATGTGTGTGTGTGAATGTGTGGTGTGTGTGTGTGAATGTGTCCGTGTGTGTGTGAATGTGTGTGTGAAGTGGGTTGTGTGTATGATGCCGTGTGTGTGTGTTGGCATGTCGTGTGTGTGTGTGAATGTGTGTGTGTGAATTGTGTGGTGTGTGTGTGTGTATGCATGTCGTGTGTGGAATGTTGTGTGTGAATGTGTGTTTGTGTGTGCATGTCCGTGTGTGTGTGAATGGTGTTGTGTGTGTGTGTGTGGTGTGTGAATGCTTTGTGTGTGATGCAGGTCGTGAATGTGTGTGTGTGGTGTATGGCATGTCCGTGTGTGTTGTGAAGGTGTGTGTGTGAATGTGTGTGTGTGTGTGTGTGTATGCATGTCCCTTGTGTGTGGTGAATGTGTGTGGTGTGAATGTGTGTGTGTGTGTGTAATGCAAATGTCTCCTGGGTTTGTGTGTGAATGTGTGTGTGTGTGTGTATGCATGTCCGTGTGTGTGTGAATGTGTGTGTGTGAATGTGTGTGTGTGTGTGTGTGTGTGTATGCATGTCTGTGTGTGTTATTTCCATGGGGAGGATGCAGCGACCTCAACATCCAGAACCAGCTACTGGCAAGCTATTCAATTTGGTTCTGGGAACAGTTTAGTTCTGGTAGAACACTGGTGTGTAAATAGAATTTCTGACATTTTAAGCTAACATCCCCATTGGTTACCAGCGGGCCAGCAACCGGAGGGTTGCCGGTTCGAATCCCAGGTCCGATGGGAAAATCTGGTGTAGAGTGAGGTGTCATCCTAAATACCCTCTCCTGCCATTGTGCCCTTGAGTAAGGCACCTAACAACTGCTCCAGGGCTGCTGCATTGTGGCTGACCCATTGCTTCCAACCTCTTGGGGTGTGTGTAAAAAGACACATTTCCGTTCTCTGCAAGATGGACAAAAAAGTATTCTTCTTCTTCTTCTTCTTCCTCTCTCCCCCTCCTCCTCCTCCTCCTCCCCCTCCTCTTCTTCCTCCTTCTTGTTTCAGACTGTGGGGAGAAGATCACCCTGTGTCTCTCCATCCTCCTCACCCTCTTCCTCCTTCTTGTTTCAGACTGTGGGGAGAAGATCACCCTGTGTATCTCCGTCCTCCTCTCCCTCACCGTCTTCCTGCTCCTCATCACAGAGATCATCCCGTCCACCTCCCTGGTCATCCCTCTGATTGGAGAGTACCTCCTCTTCACCATGATCTTCGTCACTCTCTCCATCGTCATCACTGTGTTTGTCCTCAACGTCCACCACCGCTCCCCGGGGACCCATAAGATGCCTCGCTGGGTCCACTCTGTCTTCCTGGACCTGATCCCCAGGTGGCTGTTCATGAGGCGGCCGGCGCCGGACGGAAGGAGACGCAGGTTGTTGTTGCTCCAGCAGGGGGCAGCGGTGGCACAACACCAGGGACGGACTACAACCACCACGAGACCACCAGGTGAGGTGGTAATAACAGGACCATGAATAATAAGTTGGGAGACTTTATTGTGATTTATAGGGCCGGTTTCCCAGGTTAAGCGTAGTCTAGGACTAAACATCATTCTTAATGGTGATTTTCTATTGAAAGTGCTTCTTAGTCCAAGACTAGGCAGACAATGATAAACATTGTGTCCGGGAAACTGGCCCTCAATATATGTATGACTGAGGCAACTTTATGCGTAGTTTAAATGTATCAAGTCCAATCATTAATTCCTTCATCCAGGCCTAGACCATCCTCCCTGCCTCAGCACCTCAGCCAGCTGGCTCCGGGATGGAGGAGGGACCAGGGAGGACCCCCGGGGACGGACCCCATGTTATGAGGACCTGGAGCTGGGGGCGCTGACCTCCTACTTCTCCTTCCGTCCTCCGTCACCCAGACCCCCGGGCTCCACCCATCCGCCCCAGCAGAACCACCCACCCCAAGGGGCAGGGCAGCCCCAGAACCGCCTGGATGGTGGAAGTGGACGAGGAGGAGTGAATAGAAGGATTAACCCCACCCAGCGACTGGAGAAGATGGATAACTTGGTGTCAGAGTCTTTGTCTCCCAGCGTGATACGGGCTCTGGAAGGACTGCACTACATTGCAGATCACCTGAGGGCAGAGGACGCTGACTTTAGTGTGAGTGTTTATGACATACTATAACACAATTAAACTGGCAGCACTAGTAACACTGATATTGCAGATAGTTGAATGTACTCATTCTGATAAATGACTAAAAAGTCAAAATGTAAAAAGAAAAGTGGTTACCGTTCATTCAAGTCTCTCCTCTCCTCCATCTCTCCATCCAGGTGAAGGAAGACTGGAAGTATGTTGCCATGGTGATCGACCGTATCTTCCTGTGGATGTTTATTATCGTGTGTCTGCTGGGGACCATCGGGCTCTTCCTCCCCCCCTGGCTGGCCGGCATGATCTAGGACTTGGGGTCTGCGACCCCATCCCGGAGCGGGTACCATAGGACTGGCACTACAATGACCGGCTGGTGGTATGAGTAGAGACAGATGGACTGTGACCTTTCAGTAGCACCATCTCGTGGAAGCCTAATGAGGAAACTAAGTTAGTAGGATGACTGGCACTACCAATGAGGGAGTTCCATTTAAGTGCACCGGGCTATGGCCCGTGACGTGAACGGGCAAGAGCGGTGAGGGAGGAGCGCCCTGCTACAGTGACCTGCGCCGCTCGGTCATGTTGTCAACAAAGGCAGCATGGTGCATCATCCAGAAACAACTATTTTCCATAAAATATATATGTTAGAATTTTCAAAATAGTTTTAATTGTGAAAGGCTGATAAAACCTTTGTTATCAAAAGCAATCACTTTTGCATGTGAAAACACAGAATCCTGCTTAACCTACGTCACTTTTGTTTGAGCAAACTTCACCATCGGCCAAAACGGGTCACCTGGCTCACACGCTAACCCGGTTCGGGGCATTCATAGAATCCCTTAAAATGTACTGCTTCGTATTGGAGAAGCAATGACTTGTGGGTAAATTCTATCCAATAAGGTGATTTGGCTGCTTTTCAAGGAAGTAAAGGGGCATTCTCTCTCTCTCTCTCTCTCTCTCCCTCTCTCTCTCTCTCTCTCTCTCTCTCTCTCTCATGATGTTGCTGTGTAGTAAAGACTGTATAAATTGAAATGCCTGTTCTGGGGATCAACAGGAATCAAAATGCTTGATTTAATGTTTCTACCGAGAGCACTGATGGAAGTCCATACAATACTCCAATGTAAGAATAAGGGAACATCCTCAAAAACCACAAATGTTCTACAATTACAACACTTATTATTTTGTCATAATGGTGTCTGACATTTGTATTCAAAATCATTCCATTGTCATATCCATAATGATACAGATGAATACAAGATAGGGCAAAGATAGAAGGATGCAGTATATTAACATATTTTCAAAAGGGTATTTTCATAACATATACTATAAAACTGATGTAAAAATTGTGATTAAAAAAAAGGTGATGGGCAGCAGTAGTATTATATCTATCAAGTCTAAGTCTAGAAACAGCTTCACACATTCCATAAATAACAAAGATGCTTAAAAAAAATCGTGTCACACTAAAACAATACAATTGATCTGGCATTACTACGAAGAAACACATGAAGATAACCAGGAAGTAAATTCCCCGTTATCTTATACAGTGCCTTGCAAAAGTATTCATCCCCCCTTGCCGTTTTTCCTATTTTGTTGCATTACAACCTGTCATTTAAATTGATTTTTATTTTACATGTAATGGACATACACAAAATAGTCCAAATTGGTGATGTGAAATGAAAAAAAAAAAAAATGAAAAGTTGTGCGTGCATATGTATTCACCCCCTTTGCTATGAAGCCCCTAAATAAGATCTGGTGCAACCAATTACCTTCAGAAGTCACATAATTAGTTAAATAAAGTCCACCTGTGTGCATGATCTGTCACATGATCTCAGTATATATACACCTGTTCTGAAAGGACCCAGAGCAAGGGGCACCATGAAGACCAAGGAGCTCTCCAAACAGGTCAGGGACAAAGTTGTGGAGAAGTACAGATCAGGGTTGGGTTAAACTTTGAACATACAATGGAGCACCATTAAATCCATTATTAAAAAATGGAAAGAATATGGCACCACAACAAACCTGCCAAGAGAGGGCCGCCCACCAAAACTCACGGACCAGGCAAGGAGGGCATTAATCAGAGAGGCAACAAAGACACCAAAGATAACTCTGAAGGAGCTGCAAAGCTCCACAGTGGAGATTGGAGTATCTGTCCATAGGACCACTTTAAGCTGAACACTCCACAGAGCTGGGCTTTACAGAAGAGTGGCCAGAAAAAAGCCATTGCTTAAAGAAAATAATAAGCAAACACTTTTGGTGTTCGCCAAAAGGCATGTGGGAGACTCCCCAAACATATGGAAGAAGGTACTCTGGTCAGATGAGACTAAAATTGAGCTTTTTGGCCATCAAGGAAAACGCTATGTCTGGCGCAAACCCAACACCTATCATCACCCCGAGAACACTATCCCCACAGTGAAGCATGGTGGTGGCAGCATCATGCTGTGGGGCCGTTTTTAATTGACAGTGACTGGGAAACTGGTCAGAATTGAAGGAATGATGGATGGCGCTAAATACAGGGAAATTCTTGAGGGAAACCTGTTTCAGTCTTCCAGAGATTTGCGACTGGGACGGAGGTTCACCTTCCAGCAGGAGAATGACCCTAAGCATACTGCTAAAGCAACACTCTAGTGGTTTAAGGGGAAACATTTAAATGTCTTGGAATGGCCTAGCCAAAGCCCAGACCTCAATCCAATTGAGAATCTGTGATATGACTTAAAGATTGCTGTACACCAGCGGAACCCATCCAACTTGAAGGAGCTGGAACAGTTTTGCCTTGAAGAATGGGTAAAAATCCCAGTGGCTAGATGTGCCAAGCTTATAGAGACATTCCTCCAGAGACTTGCAGCTGTAATTGCTGCAAAAGGTGGCTCTACAAAGTATTGACTTTGGGTGGGTGAATAGTTATGTATGCTCAAGTTCTTTGTCCTATTTCTTGTTTGTTTCACACACAAAAAAAATTTGCATCTTCAAAGTGGTAGGCATGTTGTGTAAATCAAATGATACAAACCCCAAAGAAATCCATTTTAATTCCAGGTTGTAAGGCAACAAAATAGGAAGAATGCCAAAGGGTGTGAATACTTTTGCAAGCCACTGTACCTAAGCAGACAGAGAGAATGTGACTATTTATAAAAGGCTTTTCTTAAAGAGATTCTCCGATAATTTTGTATACGTTTTAGCCAGTAGTTCTGAACTAGCGCTTAGGAGCCTATAGTGGTCCCTGTAAATTGCTTACTACATCACATATGTGCAGATATGTGAACCACGTAATTGCTCTCTCTCTCTCTGCTGTGTCATTGGGCCCGCCCTGCAACCTCATTGGATAACGCGCTGCCTCTGCATGCCTCAAATCAGGGGCTAAGCTCATGTCAGAACTCGTATTACTAGGGGCGACTGGGGGGTGGCAAATGAGGCACAGCTCATGGCTGAAAACTCAAGTCAATTATACTAGGGGCTGGGAAAAAAAAAGACTTGGAAATCCTCACTTCCAAGGTGGGAATGTAGTATTAAAAAGTTCCTGGGCTTAATTGACTGGGTAAACAACATCCCAAGAAAGTCATTTTTGTCCATTGAACTGCATTACATCTAGTCATATATGCCGCTTATCTCGACTATTGTACCTGCAAGTCACTGATGTCCATCCAATCAGTCACAACATGTTTGGCTCTGACCTGTCCTCCAGTGGAAAAAAAAACAACCCACATGGAAATCCTCCCATCCATCCAGAGGGGGTGTCCTGTGGGTATTTACCCCACTATGGGTCCTCCGGTTTGGGCTTGGCCAGGTTGGCCCTGACCCTGGCCTGGTCCACAGCATCCAGGAGGTTCTTCCCGTCCATGGCCAGGTTGTGTGCTGCAGTCAGCATCTGTTTCTTACACTCCTCCTTCAGAGAGGTGATTGCGTTCTGCTGGGCCAGACGCATCTTACTGATCAACTCTGCCATGTCGTTGTTCAACAGCTTCTGGGTGCCCTCGATCTGAGAGGAGGGGAGAGGATTGGAGAGAGTGAAAGGTTAATGGTAGCCTGCATGCTAGCATGTTTTCTCTTTTAGCCAACTCCTTTGTCATTGTTCCTAAGTGAACATCTCATGTGGGGAACAGGGGGATATGAGTGATGAGGACGGGGGATATATGTTGAGGAGGGGGATATACTGTGAGGCAGGGGATATACTGTTGAGCAGGGGGATATACTGTGAGGACAGAGGATATAGCTGTTGAGGACGGGGGATATACTGTTGAGGACGGGGGATATACTGTTGAGGGCAGGGGATATACTGTTGAGGGCAGGGGATATACTGTTGAGGGCAGGGGATATACTGTTGAGGACGAGGGATATGCTGTTGAGGAGGGGATATACTGTTGAGGGCAGGGGATATACTGTTGAGGGCGGGGGATATACTGTGAGGACGGGGGATATACTGTTGAGGACGGGGGATATACTGTTGAGGACGGGGGATATACTGTTGAGGACAGGGGATATACTGTTGAGGACGGGGGATATACTGTTGAGGACAGGGGATATACTGTTGAGGACGGGGGATATACTGTTGAGGACGGGGGATATACTGTTGAGACGGGGGAAGGGGATATACTGTTGAGGACGGGGGATATACTGTTGAGGACGGGGGATATACTGTTGAGGACGGGGATATCTGTTGAGGACAGGGATATACTGTTGAGGACGGGGATATCTGTGAGGACGAGGGGATATACTGTTGAGGACGGGGGATATACTGTTGAGGACGGGGGATATATACTGTTGAGGGCAGGGGGATATACTGTTGAGGACGGGGAAGGGAGGATAGTACTGTTGAGGACGAGGGGATATACTGTTGAGGGCGGGGGATATACTGAGTGCAGGGATACGGGGAGGGGATATACTGTTGAGGACGGGGGATATACTGTTGAGGACGGGGGATATACTGTTGAGGACGGGGGATATACTGTTGAGGACGGGGGATATACTGTTGAGGACGGGGGATATAACTGTTGAGGACGGGGGATATCGTGAGGCAGGGATATACTGTTGAGGACGGGGGATATACTGTTGAGGACGGGGATATACTGTTGAGGACGGGGGATATACTGTTGAGGACGGGGGATATACTGTTGAGGACAGGGGATATACTGTTGAGGACGGGGGATATACTGTTGAGGACGAGGGATATACTGTTGAGGACGAGGGATATACTGTTGAGGCGGGGGATATACTGTTGAGGACGGGGGATATACTGTTGAGGACGGGGGATATACTGTTGAGGACGAGGGATATACTGTTGAGGACGAGGGATATACTGTTGAAGGCGGGGGATATACTGTTGAAGGCGGGGGATATACTGTTGAGGATGGGGGATATACTGTTGAGGACGGGGGATATCGGAGAGAAGGAGTGAGGTAAAACGGAGAAGGTTGTTACTGTACCTCTGTCCTGATGGACTCATGCAGGGTAGGTAGAATATCATCCACACTGTGGATCAGACTCCGCAAGGTCAGCCCTATAGACTGGAGCGAGAGGGGAGTCTTTAATCAATAAAATACGTCCTGGCAAGTCAAGCTGTTACCGTGGCTACAGATACACGCCCCGCCACTACTAAAATAAAGGCGTGGAATGCAATAGTTTGAACAGTTCTGTGTACAACATTAAGTTTGTAGGCTACACCAGTGACCAGACAAAAGGTATCAAGGAGGGGGGAGTGGAACTCAGCACAGCAGCTACATGGGAAGCGGACTAGACACTCAGCACAGCATCTACATAGGAAGCAGACTAGACACTCAGCACAGCAGCTACATAGGAAGCGGACTAGACACTCAGCACAGCATCTACATAGGAAGCGGACTAGACACTCAGCACAGCAGCTACATGGGAAGTGGACTAGGCACTCAGCACAGCAGCTACATAGTAAGCGGACTAGGCACTCAGCACAGCAACTACATAGGAAGCGGACTAGACACTCAGCACAGCAGCTACATAGGAAGCGGACTAGACACTCAGCACAGCATCTACATAGGAAGCGGACTAGACACTCAGCACAGCATCTACATAGGAAGCGGACTAGACACTCAGCACAGCAGCTACATGGGAAGCGGACTAGACACTCAGCACAGCATCTACATAGGAAGCGGACTAGACACTCCGCCACAGCAGCTACATAGGAAGCGGACTAGACACTCAGCACAGATCTACATAGGAAGTGGACTAGACACTCAGCACAGCATCTACATAGGAAGCGGACTAGACACTCAGCACAGCAGCTACATGGGAAGCGGACTAGACACTCAGCACAGCAGCTACATAGGAAGCGGACTAGACACTCAGCACAGCATTCTACATAGGAAGCGGACTAGACAACTCAGCACAGCAGCTACATAGGAAGCGGACTAGACACTCAGCACAGCAGCTACATGGGAAAGCGGACTAGACACTCAGCACAGCCATCTACATAGGAAGACAGATAGACACTCAGCACAGCAGCTACATAGGAAGCGGACTAAACACTCAGGCACACGCATTCTACATAGGGAAGCGGGACTAGAACACTCAGCACAGCGCTAACATGGAAGGACTAGGCCATCAGGACAGCAGCTACATAGGAAGCGGACTAGCACTCAGCACAGCAAGCTACATAGGAAGCGGGATAGGACTCAGCTACAGTAAAAATAAATCATGCACAGCGGCTAGACATCAGCACATTGCAGCTACCATAGGCAAGCGGATGACACTGAACAGCTCTACTAGGAAGCGTCTAGGACTCCAGCACAGCATCTACATAGGAAGCGAGACAGACACTTCAGCACAGCAGCCTATAGGAAGCGGACAGACTCAGCACAAGCAGACATAGGAAGCGGAGCTAGACATCAGCACAGCAGATCAAGTTAGCGGACTAGACCACTCAGCACAGCATCTACATAGGAGTAGCGGACTAGATCATCAGCACAGCTTCTACATGGAAGCCAGACTAGACATCAGCACAGCATCTACCGATGGAAGTGGGAGGCACTCAGCACAGGCAGCTCATAGTAAGGGACAGGCACTCAGCACGAACTACATAGTAAGGGGACTAGGCAATCAGGACGCTTACATGGAAGCGGACTAGACACTCAGCACAGCAGCTACATAGGAAGCGGAGTGGGTACTCAGCTACGTAAAAATAAATCCTGCACATGCGCAGAAATATCAGTATTTTTAGCCTGGGCAAATTGGGATACAGAAACTCCATATCTTATAATGCTTCTGTGGGTCCATTGCCTCTATCCTACAGCAGACCTGAGTACAGTCAAATACTTTCATATACTTGAGCTGCCCTTGATTGAGTTCGCCCGGTACAATGGGACTCATTTTCCCAAAAGTGGAACTCCAAGCTGAATCACAAGTGTCTGATTCAGGTTTCCTACGGGACTAGTCACCACCTTCCATGTCTTTACCTTCACTATGTTGATGTATTGTTCAGGCTGTAGTGTGTTGACATCGTTCTTCAGCTGCACCACCACCTTGACCAGCTCCATCACCGCCTGGTACACCTGGTCATCTGACCGGTCCAGCTCTGCTGTTGGGAAGGCCTGGGCTGTGGGGACGGGGAGACGTGGGGGCTTGTCTGGCGGGGCTGGGGTTTCAGAGAGGGAGGGAGAGAGTGAGGGAGGGAGGAGGGGGGGGAGAGGGGGGGAGAGAGGAGGAGGGGGAGAGAGGAGGAGGGGGGGAGAGGGGGGAGAGAGGAGGAGGGGGAGAGAGGAGGAGGGGGGGAGAGAGGGAGGGAGAGAGAGGGACGCGGGGGGAAGAGAGGGGGAGAGAGAGAGGGAGGCGGGGGGAAGGGGGAGGCGGGGGGAGAGAGGGAGGGGGGCGGAGAGAGGGGGGGGAGGCGGGGGGAGAGAGGGAGGGGGGCGGAGAGAGGGGGGAGAGGAAGGCAGGGGGAAGAGAGGGGGGAGATGAGGGCGGGGGAGAGGGAGGCAGGGGGAGAGAGGGGGGGAGAGAGGGGGGAGAGATGGAGGCGGGGGGAGAGAGGGAGGGGTGTATGAGAAGGACTGGAGGATGTTTATGATACTTTTGTTACACTTAATCAAATTCCATTTCATACGACTAGATATTCTGAAGGACCACTCACCATGTTCAGTCTCAGCTTCAGGTGACTACAGACAGAGACAAAAAGCAGAATAACTATAGAAACCTGACTAATCATCGTACCTACTACAACTCCATATCGCATAGCAGGAAAGACAGTTGGGGATTTGTTACCAATTCATTGTGATTTCATGTAAATGGACAGACAGACGAGTGAATGACAGACCAGAAAAACAGAGGCTGCTGGTAACACTAAACCTAAAGCCTGAAGGTATAATGCTTTAGAACTTGTTATATGCATATATGAGCTTTTAAAAAGACACATACCAGTGGACTGGAGGCGTCCTCCTGTCCCATGGGATCCTGTAAAGGAACAAGTAGCTTCAGGTTCATTTGACACTATATGGACGTGGACCGTCGATTGGCCACGGACCCCATGGTCCCCATAGGGACAGTCAGTTCAAAAACAGACCCACTGAGAGTGAGAGTTACGGGACTGGTGGTTAGGGTGGAGAGGGGGTTGGTTGATAAGGTGGACGGAAGGTAGTTATGGTGGACAGGGCGTACAGAGAGCTAGTTGTTAGGGCGGACTAGGGCCCGGTTGCTAGGGCAGGTTACTAGGTCTAGGGTGGTAAAGGTCGAAGGTGTATTCCCCACCAGGAGTCGTTACTCCTTGGTCAGCCACTTGTTGTTAAGGGGTTGTTAGGGTGGTTTGCTAGGTCTAGGGGGGAATATGTTGGAGGTATATTCCCCACCAGGAGTCTCTCCTCCTTGGTCAGCCACTTATTGTTAGGGTGGTTACTAGGGCGGGTTGCTAGGTATAGTGGTATAAAGGTCGGAGGTGTTTTCCCCACCAGGAGTCTCTCCTCCTTGGTCAGCCACTTGTTGTTAGGGTGGTTGCTAGGACGGGTTGCTAGGTCTAGGGGGGTAAAGGTCGGAGGTGTTTTCCCCACCAGGAGTCTCTCCTCCTTGGTCAGCCACTTGTTGTTAGGGTGGTTGCTAGGGTGGTTGCTAGGGCGGGTTGCTAGGTCTAGGGGGGTAAAGGTCGGAGGTGTTTTCCCCACCAGGAGTCTCTCCTCCTTGGTCAGCCACTTGTTGTTAGGGTGGTTGCTAGGGTGGTTGTTAGGGCGGGTTGCTAGGTCTAGGGGGGTAAAGGTCGGAGGTGTTTTCCCCACCAGGAGTCTCTCCTCCTTGGTCAACCACTTGTTGTTAGGGTGGTTGTTAGGGTGGGTTGCTAGGGCGGGTTGCTAGGTCTAGGGGGGTAAAGGTCGGAGGTGTTTTCCCCACCAGGAGTCTCTCCTCCTTGGTCAGCCACTTGTTGTTAGGGGGTTGTTAGGGTGGTTGCTAGGGCGGGTTGCTAGGTCTAGGGGGGTAAAGGTCGGAGGTGTTTTCCCCACCAGGAGTCTCTCCTCCTTGGTCAGCCATTTGTTATCCTCCATCATCTGTTGTTTCTGTTGTCTCATCGTCTCCTGCATACGCAGTCTCTCCATCTGCCACAACCGCTGGGCGTCCTCCTTACTGGACGGCTCCACAACGAACTCACCCTCCTATTGGAAGGGAGACACACCAATCCTATAGTACAGAGCTAGTAATACAGTAGCCATGCTTGTTGGGCTTATAGCAGTAACACAGGGCTTTAACACAAGCACAGGACCACATGACTTGGATCGTCATAGAGACCTAACGTAGAAGGCATAAATGAAACGGAAGCTAGGTTGAAGATACTGTATCCCTGAAAAACAGATGCTTACGGTTTCTTTAAACCCCCACTGAGGGTGGAAATAGAGTAACCAGAGTCTAGAAGGAAGTAGACTAGAACTAGATAACTAGAGTCTAGAATTAAGTAGACTAGAACTAGATAACTAGAGTCTAGAATTAAGTAGACTAGAACTAGATAACTAGAGTCTAGAATTAAGTAGACTAGAACTAGATAACTATAGTCTAGAATTAAGTAGAATAAAACTAGATAACTAGAGTCTAGAATTAAGTAGACTAGAACTAGATAACTAGAGTCTAGAATTAAGTAGACTAGAACTAGATAACTATAGTCTAGATTAGTAGAAAACTAGATAACTAGAGTCTAGAATTAAGTAGAATATAACTAGATAACTAGTCTAGAATTAAGTAGACTAGAACTAGATAACTAGAGTCTAGAATTAAGTAGAATATAACTAGATAACTAGTCTAGAATTAAGTAGACTAGAACTAGATAACTAGTCTAGAATTAAGTAGACTAGAACTAGATAACTACAGTCTAGAATTAAGTAGACTAGAACGAGATAACTAGAGTCTAGAATTAAGTAGACTAGAACTAGAGTCTCACCCCCATGCTGCATCGTCGTGGAGACACCATAGGCACCATCAAGGCGTTGCTCCTAGAGTCTACAGGAGTGGTGAATTCACAGGGACTGACCAGGTCTGGAGAGCTGGCACACAGGGCCTCATTCAGCTGAATGTGCAGGCCAATACTCTTCCCAAAACGACCCCCAGGTTTCAACCTGGAGGGCTGGAGAGACAGGGACAGAAACGATGACGGGCGCTGAGTAACTTACAGTACCAGTCAAAGGTTTGGACACACCTACTCATTCCAGGGTTTTCCTTTATTTTTTTACATTGTAGAATAATAGTGAAGACATCAAAACTATGAAATAACTCATATGGAATCATGTAGTAACCAAAAAAGTGTTAAACAAATCAAAATATATTTTATATTTGAGATTCTTCAAAGTAGCCACCCTTTGCCTTGATGACAGCTTTGCACACGCTTGGCATTCTCTCAACCAGCTTCATGAGGTAGTCACCTGGAATGCATTTCAATTAACAGGTGTGCCTTATTAAAAGTTAATTTGTGGAATTTCTTTCCTTCTTAATGTGTTTGAGCCAATCAGTTGTCTTGTGACAAGGTAGGGCTGGTATTCAGAAGATAGCCCTATTTGGTAAAAGACCAAGTCCATATTATGGCAAGAACAGCTCAAATAAGCAAAGAGAAATGACAGTCCATCATTACTTTAAGACATGAAGGTCAGTCAATCCGGAAAAGTTCAAGAACTTTAAATGTTTCTTCAATTGCAGTCCCAAAAACCACCAAGCGCTATGATGAAACTGGCTCTCATGAGGACCGCCACAGGAATGGAAGACCCAGAGTTACCTCTGCTGCAGAGGATAAGTTCATTAGAGTTACCAGCCTCAGAAATTGTAGCCCAAATAAATGCTTCACAGAGTTCAAGTAACAGACAAATCTCAACATCAACTGTTCAGAGGAGACTGTGTGAATCAGGCCTTCATGGTCAAATTGCTGCAAAGAAACCACTACTAAAGGACACCAATAAGAAGAGACTTGCTTGGGCCAAGAAACACGAGCAATGGACATTAGACCGGTGGAAATCTGTCCTTTGGTCTGATGAGTCCAAATTGGAGATTTCTGGTTCCAACCGCCGTGTCTTTGTGAGACGCGGTGTGGCTGAACGGATGATCTCTGCATGTGTGGTTCCCACCGTAAAGCATGGAGGAGGAAGTGTTATGTTGTGGGGGTGCTTTGCTGGTGACACTGTCTGTGATTTATTTAGAATTCAAGGCACACTTAACCAGCATGGCTACCACAGCATTCTGCAGCGATACGCCATCCCATCTGGTTTGCGCTTAGTAGGACTATCATTTGTTTTTCAACAGGACAGTGACCCAAAACACACCTCCAGACTGTGTAAAGGCTATTTGACCAAGGAGAGTGATGGAGTGCTGCATCAGATGACCTGGCCTCCACAATCACCCAACCTCAACCCAATTGAGATGGTTTGGGATGAGTCGGACGGCAGAGTGAAGGAAAAGCAGCCAACAAGTGATCAGCATATGTGGGAACTCCTTCAAGACTGTTGGAAAAGCATTCCAGGTGAAGCTGGTTGAGATAATGCCAAGAGTGTGTAAAGCTGTCATCAAGGCAAAGGGTGGCTACTTTGAAGAATCTCAAATATAAAATATATTTTGATTTGTTTAACACTTTTTTTGGTTAATACATGATTCCATATGTGTTATTTCATTGTTCTGATGTCTTCACTATTATTCTACAATGTAGAAAATAGTACAAATAAAAATAAAAACTGGAATGAGTAGGTGTGTGTGTTGTTTTTGATGTGTAGGGTGTATGATGGTATATTCTAACATGTACGGTATGGTACATGTGTGTTAGGAAAGAAATATGGCTGAGTGGGTATGTGTGTGTGTGGTGTGTGTGTGGTGTGTGTGTGTGTGTGTGTGTGTGTGTATGTGTTGTGTGTGTGTGTGTGTGTGTGTATATGTGTGTGTGTGTGTGTGTGTGTGTCTCATCAAGAAGATAGGATACTACCTTAGGAGGAGGCTCGTTGAAGTTCAACTTTGTGTCGAAGAACTTGGTGGAGCGTTTTCTGTCCCTCTCTCTCTCTACCTGCTGCTCCTTCTCCATCTGATGGACGTCACTGTGAAAAGAAAAAGTACATATTGGCAGGATATTTGTTGGTGGAATTGTTTAATGGAGCACCTTACCCACCTTTAACCACATTCAGATTTCAGAACATAGCCAAGCCAGGAAAGGGCAGTCAGTACCTGATCTTGACGACCAGCTCGGTGAAGGAGGGTCTGTCACGGGGGTCATAGGACCAGCAGCGGGTCATGAGGGAGTAGAGGGCAGGGGGGCAGTTGTCAGGTTTGGGTAGTCTGATGCCCTGCTCCAGCTGGTTGATGACATCACGGTTCTCCAACCAGAAGAAAGGCTGCTGCCCATGGCTCAGGATCTCCCACATACACACCGCTATGGCGGAGAGGAGAGGAGAGGAGAGGAGAGGAGAGGAGAGGAGAGGAGAGGGAGAGGAGAGGAGAGGAGAGGAGAGGAGAGGAGAGGAGAGGAGAGGAGAGGAGAGGAGAGGAGAGAGAGAGAGAGCGCTTCAAGTTCCAAGAGCAGCAGGTAAAATGATGAGCTCCTAATATCTAGTATTATATATCAGATTTTAAATTAGAGGAAGAGTACATTTGAGAAAAACAAGTGAGTGAAAGATAAAGGAAGAAGGACTAAGAATATAACATCAGAAGAAGAAAATACAACAACTTTTATCCTGCTAACTCAACTGGATAGCTAACAAGCTAACAAGCTAACAGTCGTTTACATGTTGCTACAGAGTTGCTAAGACAGTTTCTAGCTACAGGCTACATGCTGTTAGCTAAAAAAAACCTAGCTAACAAATAACAAAAAGGACAATAAAAAAGGACAAAGGACCAGGACAAAGCACAGGAAAACAAGTACCTAAACTTACACAAGCAAGAGAAAACTATTCAGACAGAAAACAAGAAAGGTAGGCTTTGTTTACATTCATAAACGTCTAGCTCAGCAACCTTGCAATCCAATATGCAGAAGGTATTGCCAGTGAAGCAGGGAGGAAAACATATAAAGCAAAGGTTTTAAAAGAGCGCCCAGAGACCCTAAGAGCAGACTTTATGCAACAAAAAGACAAAGAAATCAAGGTGGATCTCCTCTTTTTACTGAACGTCCAAATGCTTGGCAAGCAGCCCTGCGCAAAGCAAACAAACATCTTAAAATGTCTGGAAACAACACCACGAGACAATTGTATGTGGACACAACCCCCCAGAATTCAGGGGGAGAAAACAACAAGAATGTGACACTGTCCAGACGCTGATGGAAGAGTCGAGGCATTTCCAGGAGGAGAGCCGTGCTTCAATAGAACAGTCAAGACAGAAGTTAAGACAGAACACTGAACAAATGCCCCAGTCCAATGATGGCCTCCAAGAGGAGGAAAGGCATGTGGCCCTGACAGCATCAATAATGACATGCTTAAAAACACAGTACTCCTGAGCTACAGGATGCCTTATTAAAACTATTCAACCTGGTTTTGGAGAGTTGCTGCTTCCCTGATATTTGGAATGAGGGGCTCATAACCCCCTTGTATAAAAAGGTGACAAATTAGACCCTAATACCTATTAGGGGAATATGTGTCACCAGTAACATGGGGAAACTGTTCTGCTGTATTCTCAATGACCGAATACAGACCTTCCTCACACAACATAACGCTCAATACGCTCTCAGAAAAAAAACGAATTGGTTTCCTACCCGAACACAGAACAACAGACCCCACACACACATTACACACTAATAAACCAGCATGTTCATCAGAAAAGCAGAGGAAAAGTATTTGCATGTTTTGTTGATTTTAAGAATGCTTTTGATTCCGTATGGCATAATGGATTATATTACAAAACCCTCCAAAGCGGCGTTGGGGGTAAAGTATATGACATCATAAAATGTATTTACTTGAACAACACATGTAGTATTAAAACTGAACAATAAAATAACAGTTTTTTTGCACAAGGGGCGAGGGGTGAGACAAGGGTGCAGTTTAAGTCCAACCCTGTTCAACGTCTACATCAATGAACTAGCAGTGTTGTTGGACCGATCTGCATTCCCTGGACTCACCCTCAAAGATGAGGAGGTCAGATTCCTGCTCTACCCAGAGGACCTTGTCCTACTGTCACCAAGATGAGGAGGTCAGATTCCTGCTCTACCCAGAGGACCTTGTCCTGCTGTCACCAAGATGAGGAGGTCAGATTCCTGCTCTACCCAGAGGACCTTGTCCTGCTGTCACCAAGATGAGGAGGTCAGATTCCTGCTCTACCCAGAGGACCTTGTCCTACGGTCACCAACAGAGACTACAGGAACAACTTAACATTCTTTGGGAATACAGCATCAACTGGGCAATAAACATCAACTTTCAGAAAACCAAAGTCTTGATTCTCCAGAAAAAGGCCATGAATCAGAGCAGCAGACACTCCTTCAAATGAGGAAATACCATTGGTTGAACACGTCCAATGGTATAACTACCTGGGCCTAATAATCAGTGCCTCCGGTGGATTTGGTCTGGCAGCGAATGCTTTAAAAGAAAAAGCCTGCAAAGCATTTTACTCCATAGAAAGACAATTCTCAAAAATAAATATTCCTATCCAAATCTGGTGAAAAATATTCAGTAGTGTAATTTTACCAATTGCACTATATGGAAGCGAGGTTTAAGGACCAACCTGTAATTACGATTATAAGTATTGGGGAAAAAAAACCAATAGAAAATCTACATACAGAATTCTGCAGAAATATCTTAAATATCCAAAAGAAAGTACCAGATAATGCATGCAAAGCGGAACTCGGACGATTGACTTTAATTGTAAATTTAAAGAAAAGGACAGTAACACTTTGGCACCATTTGAAATGAAGCCCCAAAACATCCTTACAATTCAAAGCACTGGAAACCCAAGACCTGAACGCTGAAAAGAGTCAGCTGTCAGCTGTTAAAAAAACTAAACAACCCTATTATCCAAACACACAGGGAGATCAATGAAATTGTTACAGAAATGAAAACCTATTTTTTGACAAATTGGAAAAATGAAACAAAAACACAGAATAAACAACATTTCTATTTGGCCCTCAAAACAGAATACAAATGGTCAGAATATCTCTACTGTCAGAAATACAAAACAGAGACAGATCCTGACCAAATACAGGCTCAGCGACCACCAGTGAAAGAGAGAGAAGAGAGAGAGAGAAGAGAGAAGAGAGAAGAGAGAAGAGAGAAGAGAGAAGAGAGAAGAGAGAAGAGAGAGAGAGAGAGAGAGAGAGAGAGAGAGAGAGAGAGAGAGAGAGAGAAACGCAGGCACACACAGAAATACTGCAAAAGCAAAGGATCCCCCAAAACATTTCAACAGACTTACCAAACATCCAGACATCACTAGCCGTTGTGAAGCGTCTGAAATTAATGGATTCTGGAGCCATCCATTTGATAGGTAATCGGCTCACTGAGGCTGTGGAAGTGATGCAGAAAGACAGTGGTAATATGTATTTAGCCAGTGTGAGGCCAGTATTTAAGAGCACACAGACAGACCACCAACCACTCCATGGGAGCATCTCAATTACATTTCCTTGATTCCTTGCATCCTCTTCGACCTCCTTCTCAAAACCCATTGGATGAGAAGGTCAGAAGTCCCTCCCATCTGACTTTCTCATCCAATGGTTATTTTTTTTTTTTAAATGAGGCGCGGTGAGAGGACGCGAGGAATCAAGGAACTGACATTGAGATTCTCCCCGTACCTTTGTAATACTCTTCTTCCTCGATGTATCTGGACAGGCCAAAGTCTCCCAGCCTAACACAGTCTGCTGTGGCCACCAGCACGTTCCTCACCGCTATGTCTCTGTTCCGAGACAATAAACAGGGTTAGTTGAAACGGAGGTACTACAGGTGTTTGTCGTCCTGTTGCAAGATGTTTTGCTACCGTGTGCTCTAACGAACACAACCCTGTTCTCTGTGTTTAGAGGTGCTTTGTCTCTGTTGGGACACAACATGTTGTGTTGCTGCCATGTTGTTGTGTTGCTGCCATGCTGTGTTGTCATGTGTTGTTGTCGTGTTGTGTTGTGTTGTTGTCATGTTGTGTTGCTACCATGCTGTGTTGCTGCCATGTTGTGTTGATGCCATGTTGTGCTGCTACCGTGTCGTTGTCATGTGTTGCTGTCATGTTGTGTTGTCGTCATGCTGTGTTGCTACCATGCTGTGTTGCTGCCATGCTGTTGTCATGTTGTGTTGCTGCGATGTTGTGTTGTCGTCTTAGGTATCTCTTTATGTAGTGTTGTGGTGTCTCTTGTCGTGATGTGTGTTTTGTCCTACATAAAAAAAAAAAAAATCCCAGCCCCCGTCCCCGCAGGAGGTCTTATGCCTCTTGGTAGGCCGTCATTGTAACTAAGAATTAGTTCTTAATTGACTTGTTAAATAAAGGTTAAATAAATGTAAACAACAACATGGGTTAGTGGGCAGCAATAGTACTTTGCAGCATGGACATCTACACTGAGTGGACAAAACATTAAGGACACCTGTTCTTTCCATTACATACGACTGACCAGCTGAATCCAGGTGGAAGCTATGATCCCTTATTGATGTCACTTGTTAAATCCACTTCAAATCAGTGTAGATGAAGGGGAGGAGACAGGTTAAAAGAAGGATTTATAAGCCTTGAGACATGGGATTGTGTATGTGTGCCATTCAGATGGTGAATGGGCAAGACAAAAGATATACAGTAAGTGCCTTTGAACGGGGTATGGGGGTAGGTGCCAGGCGCATCCCGCTCACAAGTTTCCTGTGTGTATCAAGAATGGTCCACCACCCAAAGGACATCCAGCTAACTTGACACAACTGTGGGAAGCATTGGAGTCAACATGGGCCCAGCATCCCTGTGGAACGTTTTCGACACCTTGTAGGGGGAGGGGGGGGTGCAACTCAATATTAGTAAGGTGTTTAGAATGTTTTGTATACTCAGTGTATGTATTACATATCTAGGAGTGTGATGAAGTGGAACATGGAATATGGGTGTAAAGATGGCCACCCTACCTGTGTGGGAAAAGCTATACGGACACGCCTGGTGCCCAAATTGATGACGTATGTCGCACAGCTGAGAGTCGAGCAGATATTAATGGATTCGGTTCAGTCAGTCGTCAGTGATGAGCCCTTTCCGGCTAGCTAGTTTATGCCGGCTAGCTGACAACAACAGCAGCATCATTGCGCTAGTTAATACTCACTAAAAGAAAGTGATGTTTATTTTGACGGGCGAGGGAGAAATAACATGTAGTATCGGTCACCGTCTGGATGTCACCGTGACATGCCAATAAATTAACGTAACGACAAGCCGGAGTGAACGACCAGTACAACGGCGTTGTATCAAGGTACTTCCCTCTGATGCTAACGTGGCCAATGTGTTCCATCCCACTTGATTTATATTAAGAGTAGGATAGCATCCTACACGACAAATAACTTGTAATATTGGTAGTAGCCATCTGGATGTCACCGTGATACGGTCTACTGCTGCTCAATGGGGAGAGTTTGTGCTGCAAGCCGGTAACAGAACAACACGGCGCACAGTGTGTCCTTCGTTCCTGCTTGCAGACTAATGATGAGCACTGCTGGAGAGGGAAGTAGTTAGATAGTGTAGCCAATATCAGGCCAGTAAGGAGAAGGAAGTAGTTAGATAGTGTAGCCAATATCAGGCCAGTAAGGAGAGGGAAGTAGTTAGATAGTGTAGCCAATATCAGGCCAGCAAGGAGAAGGAAGTAGTTAGATAGTGTAGCCAATATCAGGCCAGCAAACTATTAATAAACAATTACTCCGATTTAAAAAACGGAAATGATTCTGAACATTCTCACAACTCCCAACTTCGGCAGACAAGTTTCAAATTCTCTTGGAAGTTTCTAGCCACAAGCATGAACTAGCTACCTGGGATGACTGACTGAACTGAATCAGTTTATCCCCACTCAACTCTCGCTGCGTGACATAAGTCATCCATTTTGGGGCCCCAGGCGTGTCCGTATAGCCTCTCCCTACCTGTGCACCATGCTGATTCCCTCCAGGTAGACCAGAGCTTTACAGATCTGCAGGCTGAAGAGGACCAGCGTTATGTTGGTCAGCTTGCGCTGGTTCTCTACTAGGTAGTTGCCCAGCTGGAAGACAGATGGAACAGAATGATAGGGCAGCAGACAGGACAAGCTGGTAGAGAAGCACCTGTAGGGTCACTGGTTTGAATCCCAGGTCTGCCAGGAGAAATTGTGCTATAAGTCAAGTCTATCCAAGTTTCCAAGTTCATTTTTATAAGATCATGGCTGCTGTTGTCTTCATGACAATTCACACATCATGGCTAACAACATAGCATTATGGCTAACAACATAGAATTATGGCTAACAACATAGCGTCATGGCTAACAACATAGCGTCATGGCTAACAACGTAGCGTCATGGCTAACAACATAGCGTCATGGCTAACAACATAGCATTATGGCTAACAACATAGCATTATGGCTAACAATTTAGCGTCATGGCTATAAAACATAGCGTCATGGCTATAAAACATAGCGTCATGTCTAATAAAATAGGGTGCGTTCATAAATTCACACTGGAGTGCCAGAGAGCGCTGACACCGGCCATATTCAACGGGTGTTGAGCAGTTATTCTGCGCTCTGGCACACTCAGACAAGAGTGCTCTGAAATCGGAGTAGTAAACGCACCCATAGCGTCATGGCTAACACCATAGTATTATGGCTAACAACATAGCGTCATGGCTAACAACATAGCGTCATGGCTAACAACATAGCGTCATGGCTAACAACATAGCGTCATGGCTAACAACATAGCGTCACGGCTAACAACATAGCGTCACGGCTAACAACATAGCGTCATGGCTAACAACATAGCGTCATGGCTAACAACATAGCGTCATGGCTAACAACATAGCGTCATGGCTAACAACATAGCGTCATGGCTAACAACATAGCGTCATGGCTAACAACATAGCGTCACGACTAACAACATAGCGTCACGACTAACAACATAGCGTCACGGCTAACAACATAGCGTCATGGCTAACAACATAGCGTCATGGCTAACAACATAGCGTCATGGCTAACAACATAGCGTCATGGCTAACAACATAGCGTCATGGCTAACACCATAGCGTGGCTGTGGTTCTCACCTCTCCATACTGGTAGAGTTCCATGACGATCCACACTGGGTCTTCCTCTATGACGCCGATCAGGCTGACGATGTGGGGGTGGTTCAGGTTCTTCATGATCACTGGAGAATGGGACAGGTTTAACAATTCAACTTTTTCCTTATATTTTCGTATGAAGGCTACATTAGGAGAGGGATACACAGGGGCGCAACTTTCACTCTTTCTGAAATTGCATTTTTGTCACCCCCAGTTTTATCATTGGAATGTGATAACAAACAAGGCTCGGGTGTGCTTTAGGACCATGCAGACGCTTCCAAGCGGTCGGGTAGCCTGTTTGGAGTGTTTATCCGACTGGATTAAAATAATAATAATAATAATAATAATAATTATGTCTTCCGCCTTAAAACCAAAGTTGCGCCACTGGGGATACATACTTTCTTATTAATAGTATTTATCCCACAGCATCATTGTTTCTGATTGGCTAGAAGGGCACTCTAGAATGTACATTAAAACCAGATAACTGGACAGTTGGAAAAGATATCGGGACACCTTGTAATCATGACGCAATATGCGCCTACACATGCAGACTGTACTTGCTGCAAAGTAACAGAAAGCTAAACCAACAACTACACAAACTGAAATTGGATACATTGTAAACGCAGGTCCAACAAAGGAAAAGCTAGCATTGACTTGTTTTTGCAGAGACATTTTTTTGGGGGAGCATCTGATGACCTGAGGTGGTGAGTGATGAACATGAATTTCTCCTGTCCTTTCCATGTTGCAGTCATGATGCTATGCTGTCAAATCCTCCCACATGTTTCTAGTTTGACCGGCTGTTTTCAGCAACTGGTATTTTTGAATTCGCTTGTCATATTGGCAGGTTTGCTAGCAACAAACTGTTTAGCTAGCTTCTAGTCTAGTGTTTGATATGCAATGCGATCTCTTCGTAATGAACAGTGTCGAGTGTCCTGACGAGAAGGACAACTTTTGTAGCTATGCCAGGCAAAAAATCGGGCATTATCAGCTCATTGTTATGGATGTATCCAAATGAATGTCAATAGAAAAACATCTTAAACAAACGCAAATGCAGCTACTTTGCTGTTATTCTGGCTGCAGAGGTCGTGACTGTGTTAGCCATAGCTAGTTGGCCTCCTAACAAGCAAGGGACAAGAACATTGCCAGAGCGCATGGCTATGGAACATACAGAACAAACAAATGGATCCATAACTATATCTATAGCAACCAAAATATGAATAATCTTATAAAAATGAAAATAGGTGCTTCGTCCATTCTTTTCAAGGTAATGTACAGAATGGAGGCGTTTATCCCTTATGTATTGTCTCTACAGATCAGGTCTGTTGATGCTTATTCAAGTGATCATGAAGTGTACAAAAAAAAGTAAGTAGCGTTGCCTTGTGTGAGCCAGGACGGAGCCTACCCCCTGGACAGGACACTAGTCTATCGCTGTAGTGAGACAGCTTGATGTCTCCTACAACCCCCTGGACAGGACACTAGTCTATCGCTGTAGTGAGGCAGCTTGATGTCTCCTACAACCCCCTGGACAGGACACTAGTCTATCGCTGTAGTGAGGCAGCTTGATGTCTCCTACAACCCCCTGGACAGGACACTAGTCTATCACTGTAGTGAGACAGCTTGATGTCTCCTACAACCCCCTGGACAGGACACTAGTCTATCGCTGTAGTGAGACAGCTTGATGTCTCCTACAACCCCCTGGACAGGACACTAGTCTATCGCTGTAGTGAGACAGCTTGATGTAGCCTACAACATTTTACATTTACATTTTAGTCATTTAGCAGACACTCTTATCCAGAGCGACTTACAGATCGTGAGTGCAAACTGCATGTTTTTAGTTTTTTTCATACTGGTCCCCCGTGGGAAATGAACCCACAACCCTGGCGTTGCAAACGCCATGCTCTACCAACTGAGCTACACTTCAAAACCTTATTCCTCATGATTTACTTTTTTTATTGTCTTTTTTTGTTATTCAATGTGATTCTATAAGCTGTGGTAGTAAAGGCCAAATTCAAAATTGTATCAAATAATTTTTTTATACTATGGGAATATGGGAAATGTAAAAAGGCAAAATTAGAGTGTACCCACTTCTCCAACCCCCTGGACAGGACACTAGTCTATTGCAGGGCCTTACCCCCAATCTCTCCTTAATGCTGAGTGCCAACCAGTGGTGTAGTGGTGCCTGGAGAAGTGGGTACACTCTAATTTTGCCTTTTTACATTTCCCATATTCCCATAGTATAAAAAAATTATTTGATACAATTTTGAATTTGGCCTTTACTACCACAGCTTATAGAATCACATTGAATAACAAAAAAAGACAATAAAAAAAGTAAATCATGAGGAATAAGGTTTTGAAGTGTCTGTCCTGTATCTAGGAGACATAAGAAAGCTCAGGAAATATTTTTGTTTTTTTGGACACATATTTAACCCCTTATTTTTGTTGGCACAAAACTACCATACTTCCATTTATTTGTATGGGTTACCTTCAGACTAGTCCCGCTAGTCCCGCTAAATGCACTGTTGGTTAAGGGCTGTAAGTAAGCATTTCACTGTAATGTCTGCACCTGTTGTATTCGGCGCATGTGACCAATAAAATTTGATTTGATTTGATTTGATTTGATTTGACTTGACACTTTCACCATCGTGTTCGTGAGAGTCTCATCTTTCCATAGTAGTTTGTAGGCCAAACGTTTTCCCGGAGCAGATTTTCGTGATGTCGTGAGAAGATTTTTTGGGCTCCCGAGTGGCGCAGTGGTCTAAGGCACTGCATCTCAGTGCTTGAGGCGTCACTACAGACACCCTGGTTCGATTCCAGGCTGTATCACAACCGGCTGTCTTAAACTGATGATTTTCATGGGGATTTTTAAAATTATGTTACTTAGATATAAACCACATCAGGAGACCACTTTTGAGGTCTGCGAATCTTTTTTGAAATTGTGATTTTTTTTGTGTAGTTACCCTTTAATTCAAGTGGCAGGCACCTAGCACATGGGATGGCGTTTTCCAATGGATTTATGCAAATAAATAATAATCATGATATCATTCTTTCAGGTAGGCATAGGCTACTTTGTAGCTAGTTAACATTTAATAGAGAAGGTTTTTGGGAAAGCCTTTCCATCCATACCAGAAGACGGTTAGGTATATCATTAGCATCACTATATTTGTCCGTTAATTGTTTGAAACCTGGACGTTTTACTTCATATAATGAGGCATGTCTTACCTTGCTTCAAAGTAGCCTATAGCCAAAATCCCACCATAGAAAAATGGAGGCAATTATTTTATAAAGACTTCCTCATATGCGTTCTCCTGTTGTTTTGGTTTTCTTTCAACTTTTTTCAATGTCTAGCAGCCAAAGGCATTACTACATTTACATTTACGTCATTTAGCAGACGCTCTTATCCAGAGCGACTTACAAATTGGTGCATTCACCTTATGATAGCCAGTGGGACAACCACTTTACAATTATTATTATAATTATTTTTTGTGTGTGTTTTTTTGTTATTTTTTTTTTTATATATTTTTTTTCTTTAGTTTTAGAAATATTTTTTAGATTGTTTTTATTTTTGTGAAATTTCTTTCAATTTTTTTTATTTTTTATTTAGAGTATGTTTTTAATTTTCTTTGTTTTGTATATATAGTTGTTGTTTTTTAATTTTTGTTGTTTTTACATTTTTATGTGTTTTTTTTTTTGTAATTCTTCTTCTTCTTCTTCTTATTTTTTTTTTGGGGGGGATAGAAGGATTACTTTTATACTATCCCAGGTATTCCTTAAAGAGGTAGGGTTTCAAGTGTCTCCGGAAGGTGGTCAGTGACTCCGCTGTCCTGGCGTCGTGAGGGAGCTTGTTCCACCATTGGGGTGCCAGAGCAGCGAACAGTTTTGACTGGGCTGAACGGGAACTGTTCTTCCACAGAGGTAGGGGGACCAGAAGGCCAGAGGTGGAAGAACGCAATGCCCTCGTTTGGGTGTAGGGACTGATCAGAGCCTGAAGGTAAGGAGGTGCCGTTCCCCTCACAGCTCCGTAGGCAAGCGCCATGGTCTTGTAGCAGATGCGAGCTTCAACTGGAAGCCAGTGGAGTGTGCGGAGGAGCGGGGTGACGTGAGAGAACTTGGGAAGGTTGAACACCAGACGGGCTGCAGCGTTCTGGATGAGTTGTAGGGGTTTAATGGCACAGGCAGGGATTATCCTAGTCATATTAGCATATTGCATCTTTAGATCTCCCCTCTTCCTAAAGAGAAACCACTCGCATGTGCGGTGCGCATTTTAGAACAGTGTTTTACCCGTTTTACGCAAATCGCACGTAGGCCTACCGCCATGCACACAATGCTGCTTCTAAAATGTGAAGATATAATAGATATATAGTTAATATAATATATAGATATAATAGTTCATCAACATTCTAAAGCTAAACAGTCTGATCTGTTCCATCAGCCTTTTTAATTGATACAGTGTATACCTCCACTACACTACTTTGATACGCATCGTTGAGATTAAGAAGTGAGTTTACGCAATGCCCACTGAAAAAATAAGTGGATATACTATACCCGCCCACACGTTTTGTTTTTTGCCCTAGCACTACACAGCTGATTAAAATACAGGTCTTTGGGTATGACTTGGCTGGGGGATCCCAACTTTTCAATCTCAGGGTGGACACTAACCACAAGGCCAGTGAGTTGGTGAAGTGTGATCAGTATTTGCTCTGTACCTGCTTCACTCATGAACTTCTCCATGACGTCAGGTGAACAGTCTTTACATGTCTTCACCGCCACGCTTAGTCTCTTCCCATTCTGGTTCACAAACACAGAGACCAGTCACACACACACACACACACACACACACACACACACACACACACACACACACACAGAGAGACCAGTCACACACACACACACAAACACACACACACAAACAGAGACCAGTCACACACACAAACACACACAAACACACACACACAGAGACCAGTCACACACACACACACACACACACACACACACAGAGACCAGTCACACACACACACACACACACACACACACACACAGAGACCAGTCACACACACACACACACAAACAGTGAGATCAATATTGTGTTTAGTTAGGCACATTTGAGGTGTTAGAATTGACTGTGTGAGTAGGGTGTCGGGAGATAGACTTGCCGATTTCTTGTACATTCCTTCATAGACCTCCCCGAAAAAACCCTCGCCAAGTATCCGGCCCAGAACAATGTCTTCTCTGTCGATTCCATACTTCACCACTGAAACCAAGTATACAACAACTTAGAACATACAGTAGATCATAGAACATAGAACATACAGTAGATCATAGAACATAGAACATACAGTAGATCATAGAACATAGAACACAGAAGGCAAATTTAAAGAAAACACTACCGAAGTTCTATCAACACATTGCCTGTAGTACATGCGCATCAAAAACTCTCGACCATTGCTACAACGCCCTCCCATGCCCTCCCTTCGACAAATCAGATCACGACTCCATCCTGGCTCCTCCCTTCCTATAGGCAGAAACTCAAACATGAAGTACCCGTGCTAAGGTCTATTCAGCGTTCAACACCATAGTGCCCTCCAAGCTCATCATTAAGCTCGGGGCCCTGGGTCTGAACCGCGTCCTGTGCAACTGGGTCCTGGACTTCCTGACGGGCCGCCCCCAGGTGGTGAAGGTAGCAAACAACACCTCCACTACGCTGATCCTCAACACAGGGGTCCCACAAGGGTGCGTGCTCAGCCCCATCCTGTACTCCCTGTTCACCCATGACTGCGTGGTCACGCACGCCTCCAACTCAATCATCAAGTTTGCAGACGACAGAACAGTGGTAGGCCTGATCACCAACAATGACGAGACAGCCAACAGGGAGGTGGTGATGGCCCTGGCGGAGTGGTGCCAGGAAAATAACCTCTTCCTCAACGTCAACAAAACAAAGGAGCTGATCGTGGACTTCAGGAAACAGCAGAGGGAGCAAGCCCCTATCCACATCGACGGGACCGCAGTGGAGAAGGTGGAAAGCTTCAAGTTCCTTGGCGTACACATCACTGATCATCTGAAATGGTCCACCCAAGCAGACAGTGTGGTGAAGAAGGTGCAACACCACCTCTTCAACCTCAGGAGGCTGAAGAAGTTTGGCTTGGCCCCTCACAAACTTTTACAGATGCACAATTGAAAGCATCCTGTCGGGCTGTCTCACGACCTGGTACGGAAACTGCACCGCCCGCAACCGCAGGGCTCTCAAGAGGGTGGTGCGGCCTGCCCAAGGCATCACCAGGGCCACACTGCCTGCCCTCCAGGCCAGCAGACTACAGCACCCAATGTCACAGGAAGTCCAAAAAGATGATCAAGGACATCAACCACCCAAGCCACTGCTTGTTCACCCAGCTATCATTCAGAAGGCGAGGTCAGTAGAGGTACATAAAAGCTGGGACCTGAGACTTAAAAACAGCTTCTATCTCAAGGCCAGCAGACTTTTAAATAGACATCACTAGCCGGCTACCACCCGGTTACTCAACTCTGCACCTTAGAGGCTGCTGCCCTATGTACATAGACATGGAATCACTGGTCACTTTAATAATGTTTACATATCTTGTATTACTCATCTCATATGTATATGCTGTATTCTATACTATTCTACTGTATCTTAGTCTATGCTGCTCTGTCATTGCTTGTCCATATATGTATATATTCTTAATTAATTCCTTACTTAGATTTGTGTGTATTGGGTATATGTTGTGAAATTGTTAGATATTACTTGTTAGATATTACTGCACTGTCGGAGCTAGAAACACAAGCATTTCACTACACCTGCAATAACATCTGCTAAATATTTGTATGTGACCAATAACATTAGATTTTATTTGATTACTGTGTTTTACTGTATTTAGTCAATGCCATTCTGACATTGCTCATCCTAATATTTATATATTTATTAATTCCATTCTTTTACTTTTAGATTTGTCTGTATTGTTGCGAACTATCAGATACTACTGCACTGTTGGAGCTAGGAACACAAGCATTTTGCTAGACCCGCAATAACATCTGCTAAATATGTGTATGTGACCAATACGATTTGATATGAAAAGTCTACATCAATCTCCTCATATCAACAACTATAAAATGTCTTCCAGTTTGATAAAGGAGAACTTCTACTTACCAGACCTCGGTCGTTCATCAATCTCAGCGTAGATTTCAGATCCTGAACGATTGGATATTTGATGATATCAGTTTTGTGGTCAAAACAGATGGGTCAACATAGCCCCCCCCCCTACAGTACTAGTTTCAAATAATTCAACACAGCCACTGCACTGATTTGAACAATGATTAATAATGAGAAATTAACCATGATATTTGTCAAACAAAAGATGAAAGCAGTCTTGGTAGATAATAACTCACCCATGCTATTTCTGATGCTGTCTGTGTTTACCGTTTGACTACAGAGTGGGAGGAGAGACAGCCAGAGGAGGAGAGGAGAGGATCATCAAACCCTGGGTTTATAGTTCCTCAATGCACCAGGCACACTGTTACAATAACACTACCTGTCTCTTTGGAAAAATCTATCTGACAGCATCACTTTTCACTTGATCTTATATCCAATGTTCCAACAAGTACTCTTGAATATGTACAGTTCAGTTTCAGCATAGTGACTTGTTATAGGAATGACACAAAAGCCCAAATATTAAGCCTTGTTCAATCCACTCACTTTGTGGGTAGGTCTGGAAGGGAACTTCGTAGATTGGCGTCTATGGGTCATGGCAGAAACATGGTGTTACTTCACATTGGTTCAATAGACTTACGAGAGATGAGGTAATCAAGTTAGACCACTGTGATGCACTCTTTCAGTGTATCCCCTTCTGTGTTTCCCCTTACCATTATATACACAGGGCGGACTTCCTGATCCCCCTTACCTTTATTTGGTCTGATGACGATGAACGACTTGTCAGTGGCGTGCTCCAAGCGACAGTAACCGTCAATAAGGTCCACCATGTTCTCTGCCATCGCAAACTTAGTCACGTTGATAGACAGAGGCTGACCAAGAAGATACAAACGATTCACATTACTGACAATTACTGACAATTACAATCACTTTATAACATTATAATGTCATAGGGGTCATAGGCTTTCAGGGCGAAATATTTACTTAAGATGCAGGCATTTAACTCAACGAACACGTCAACAAAAATGTTGCATGATAAAAAATAAAAAATACACACACACACAGATCTCAAGTTAGGATTCAGGGCCCGAATTCACAAAGTGTCTCAGAGTAGGAGTGCTGATCTGAGATCGGTTTCCGCCTGTCCAAATAACTGGATTCATTATTGATCTAAAGGCATAACTGATCCCAGATCAGCACCCCTCTCTCCCTAATGTGTGTCCAGGCCTCACTGTGTTCCCGATTTAAGCAGTGCTAATAAAGTTGTTCTAGATCTATTTTAATGCGTACCTGTCTGGCTCCGTCTATGTCCAGGTTGAGGAGGGCTTTGTCGTCACTCTGAGATAAACACTTGATGCTCTTGATCTGTTTGAAGTTTGCTAGACACACAGGCTACGGGGGTAAGAGATAAAACAATTAGCCGATACACTTAAAAGCCTTTGGTGTAGGGTGAAGTTGCCCAGTAGACGCCGGTCTTGGGTCAGTTGAGCATTTTCCCCCCACTAAATGGTTAGGGTAAGGATTTGTGGGAGGGGTACCCTAGGGGAAACTTCACCCCGGAGCCCACACCGGCTGGGGATGAGGAAGAGATGGGGATACATTACTACTCCAAAGAGAGACACCCTTGCAGCAGGCCTCAATGAGGAATGTTCCATTTCTTGTTTTTTTGTAGAAAGCTTTAAATGTGTAGTCTGAAATTACCCTGCTAACATTTAGGCTATGACATCATAAGATCTTTATTGTGTGTGTGTTGGTGTGTGTGTATATATATATATATATATATATATATATATATATATATATATATATATATATATATATATATATATATATATATACACACATACATACATACATACATACAGTGGGGGGGGGGGAAGTATTTAGTCAGCCACCGATTGTGCAAGTTCTCCCACTTAAAAAGATGAGAGGCCTGTAATTTTCATCATAGGTACACGTCAACTATGACAGACAAATTGAGAATTTTTTTTCCAGAAAATCACATTGTAGGATTTTTAATGAATTTATTTGCAAATTATGGTGAAAAATAAGTATTTGGTCACCTACAAACAAACAAGATTTCTGGCTCTCACAGACCTGTAATTTCTTCTTTAAGGGGCTCCTCTGTCCTCCACTCGTTACCTGTATTAATGGCACCTGTTTGAACTTGTTATCAGTATAAAAGACACCTGTCCACAACCTCAAACAATCACACTCCAAACTCCACTATGGCCAAGACCAAAGAGCTGTCAAAGGACACCAGAAACAAAATTGTAGACCTGCACCAGGCTGGGAAGACTGAATATGCAATAGGTAAGCAGCTTGGTTTGAAGAAATCAACTGAGGGAGCAATTATTAGGAAATGGAAGACATACAAGACCACTGATAATCTCCCTCGATCTGGGGCTCCACGCAAGATATCACTCCGTGGGGTCAAAATGATCACAAGAACGGTGAGCAAAAATCCCAGAACCACACGGGGGGACCTAGTGAATGACATGCAGAGAGCTGGGACCAAAGTAACAAAGCCTACCATCAGTAACACACTACGCCGCCAGGGACTCAAATACTGCAGTGCCAGACGTGTCCCCCTGCTTAAGCCAGTACATGTCCAGGCCCGTCTGAAGTTTGCTAGAGTGCATTTGGATGATCCAGAAGAGGATTGGGAGAATGTCATATGGTCAGATGAAACCAAAATAGAACTTTTTGGTAAAAACTCAACTCGTCGTGTTTGGAGGACAAAGAATGCTGAGTTGCATCCAAAGAACACCATACCTACTGTGAAGCTTGGGGGTGGAAACATCATGCTTTGGGGCTGTTTTTCTGCAAAGGGACCAGGACGACTGATCCGTGTAAAGGAAAGAATGAATGGGGCCATGTATCGTGAGATTTTGAGTGAAAACCTCCTTCCATCAGCAAGGGCATTGAAGATGAAACGTGGCTGGGTCTTTCAGCATGACAATGATCCCAAACACACCGCCCGGGCAACGAAGGAGTGGCTTCGTAAGAAGCATTTCAAGGTCCTGGAGTGGCATAGCCAGTCTCCAGATCTCAACCCCATAGAAAATCTTTGGAGGGAGTTGAAAGTCCGTGTTGCCCAGCGACAGCCCCAAAACATCACTGCTCTAGAGGAGATCTGCATGGAGGAATGGGCCAAAATACCAGCAACAGTGTGTGAAAACCTTGTGAAGACTTACAGAAAACGTTTGACCTGTGTCATTGCCAACAAAGGGTATATAACAAAGTATTGAGAAACTTTTGTTATTGACCAAATACTTATTTTTCACCATAATTTGCAAATAAATTCATAACAAATCCTACAATGTGATTTTCTGGAATTTTTTTCTCATTTTGTCTGTCATAGTTGACGTGTACCTATGATGAAAATTACAGGCCTTTCTCATCTTTTTAAGTGGGAGAACTTGCACAATTGGTGGCTGACTAAATACTTTTTTCCCCACTGTAGGAGGATTATAGAGGAGGATTCTAGAGGATTATAGAGGAGGATTATAGAGGAGGATTCTAGAGGATTATATAGAGGAGGATTCTAGAGGATTATATAGGAGGATTCTAGCGGATTATATAGGAGGATTCTAGAGGATTATATAGGAGGATTATAGAGGAGGATTATAGAGGATTATAGAGGATTATATAGGAGGATTATAGAGGAGGATTCTAGAGGATTATATAGGAGGATTATATAGGAGGATTCTAGAGGATTATATAGGATTATATAGGAGGATTCTAGAGGATTATAGAGGATTATAGAGGAGGATTCTAGTGGATTATAGAGGAGGATTCTAGAGGATTATAGAGGAGGATTCTAGAGGATTATATAGAGGAGGATTCTAGAGGATTATATAGGAGGATTCTAGAGGAGGATTCTAGCGGATTATATAGGAGGATTCTAGAGGATTATATAGGAGGATTATAGAGGAGGATTATAGAGGATTATATAGGAGGATTATATAGGAGGATTATAGAGGAGGATTCTAGAGGAGGATTATATAGGAGGATTCTATAGGATTATATAGGAGGATTCTAGAGGATTATATAGGAGGATTCTAGAGGATTATAGAGGAGGATTCTAGAGGATTATTATTAAGGAGGATTCTAGAGGATTATAGAGGAGGATTCTAGAGGATTATATAGGAGGATTATAGAGGTATATAGTGGAGGATTCTAAAGGAGGATTCTAGAGGATTATATAGGAGGATTATAGAGGAGGATTATAGAGGATTATATAGGAGGATTCTATAGGAGGATTATTTAGGAGGATTCTAGAGGATTATATAGGAGGATTATAGAGGATTCTAGAGGAGGATTCTAGAGGATTCTAGAGGAGGATTCTAGAGGATTATATAGGAGGATTATAGAGGAGGATTCTAGAGGATTATAGAGGAGGATTCTAGAGGATTATAGCGGAGGATTCTAGAGGATTATATAGGAGGATTATGTAGGAGGATTCTATAGGATTATATAGGAGGATTATATAGGAGGATTATATAGGAGGATTATAGAGGAGGATTATAGAGGAGGATTATAGAGGAGGATTATAGAGGATTATATAGGAGGATTCTATAGGATTATAGCGGAGGATTCTAGGGGATTATATAGGAGGATTATGTAGGATGATTCTATAGGATTATATAGGAGGATTATATAGGAGGATTATATAGGAGGATTATATAGGAGGATTATAGAGGATTATAGAGGAGGATTCTAGAGGAGGATTCTAGAGGATTATAGAGGAGGATTATATAGGAGGATTATAGAGGATTATAGAGGAGGATTCTAGAGGATTATATAGGAGGATTATATAGGAGGATTCTAGAGGAGGATTCTAGAGGATTATATAGGAGGATTATATAGGATTATAGAGGCGGATTCTAGAGGATAATAGAGGAGGATTCTAGAGGATTATATAGGAGGATTATATAGGATGATTCTAGAGGATTCTAGAGGAGGATTCTAGATGATTATATAGGAGGATTATATAGGAGGATTATAGAGGATTATAGAGGAGGATTCTAGAGGATTATATAGGAGGATTATATAGGAGGATTATATAGGGGGGGGTGATATAGGAGCATTATATAGGGGGTGATATAGGAAGATTATATAGGGGGATTATATAGGGGGATTATATAGGGGGGGTGATATAGGAGGATTATATAGGGGGGTGATATAGGAGGATTATATAGGGGGTGATATAGCAGGAGATATAGGAAGATTATATAGGGGGATTATATAGGGGGGTGATATAGGAGGATTATATAGGGGGTGATATAGGAGGATTATATAGGGGGGTGATATAGGAGGATTATATAGGGGGGGGTGATATAGGGAGGTGATATAGGAGGATTATATAGGAGGATTATATAGGGGGATTATATAAAATGATTATATAGGGGGATTATATAGGGGGAAATATAGGAGGATTATATAGGGGGATTATATAGGGGGATTATATAGGGGGGTGATATAGGAGGATTATATAGGGGGATTATATAGGGGGGTGATATAGAAGGATTATATAGGGGGGTGATATAGGGAGGTGATATAGGAGGATTATATAGGAGGATTCAGCACCCAACCTGTTTATCTTGTGATGGGAGAGGAACAACAATCGCGGTCAGAAAGCATGCATGACAATGCAATGAAAATGACCAAATGGCAACATATACAGTGCCTTCGGAAAGAATTCAGACCCCTTAACTTCTTCCACATTTTGTTACGTTACAGCCTTATTCTAAAATGGATTTTTTTTAAAAATCCTTAGCAATCTACACACAATACCCCGCAATGACAAAGCGAAAACAGGTTTTTAGAACATTTATTAAAAATAAAAAACTGAAATACCTTATTTACATTAGTAATCAGATCCTTTGCTATGAGACTCAATTGATTGGACATGATTTGGAAAGGCACACACCTGTCTATATAAGGTCCCACAGTTGACAGCGCATGTCAGAACAGAAACCAAGCCATGAGGTCGAAGGAATAGTCCGTAGAGCTCCGAGACAGGATTGTGTCGAGGCACAGATCTGGGGAAGGGTACCAAAAAATGTCTGCAGCATTGAAGGTCCCAAAGAACACAGTGGCCTCCATCATTCTTAAATGGAAGACGTTTGGAACCACTAAGACGCTTCCTAGAGCTGGCCGCCCGGCCAGACTGAGCAATCGGGGGAGAAGGGCCTTGGTCAGGGAGGTGACCAAGAACCCAATGGTTGTAAGGGTTGGTGTGAGGTGTGACCCAGGTGCGGTGCAGGATAGACAGTAGGCAGTAGGCAAGGATGGTGAAACAAGGATCTTTACTGGTGGTCCAAAAGCCAGGATACAAAACAACGGACTATACATGAAAACAAATGAGGAGCACAAAGGTCTCCAAAAAACAGGCTGACAGCAAACAATACGAAATACTAACTCTGACTGGAAAAACACAATGACACAGGGAGAACACTTCTCGAGTACCTGTAACTCCGTCACGTGATCCGACACTGATACGTACTGCTTGACATCAAGGAACTAGCAGAGAAAACTGAGCAAGGGAACACAGGGAAGTGAGGGCATAAATACAGAGGTGAATCAGATAGCCACAGGTGACACCAATAGGCAGATAATTAGTCCCGACTGTGAGTGAGGAGGTGCCTATGGTTGTCGGAGGATGACACCTAGTGGGTTGCTCCGGAACTGCGACCCACTCCTGTAACAGATGATCACTCTGACAGAGCTCCAGAGTTCCACTGTGGAGATGGGAGAACCTTCCAGAAGGACAACCCTCTCTGCAACACTCCACCAATCAGGCCTTTATGGTAGAATGGCCACACGGAAGCCACTCCTCAGTAAAAGGCACATGACAGCCCGCTTGGAGTTTGCCAAAAGGCACCTAAAGACTCTCAGACCATGAGAAACAAGATTCTCTGGTCTGATGAAACCAAGATTGAACTCTTTGGCCTGAATGCCAAGCGTCACGTCTGGAGGAAACCTGGCACCATCCCTACGGCGAAGCATGGTGGTGGCAGCATCATGCTGTGGGGATGTTTTTCAGCGGCAGGGACTGGGAGTCTAGTCAGGATCGAGGCAAAGATGAACGGCGCAAAGTATAGAGATCTCCTTGATGAAAACCTGCTCCAGAGCACTCAGGACCTCAGACTGGGGCGAAGGTTCACCTTCCAACAGGACAACAACCCTAAGCAAACAGCCAAGACAACACAGGAGTGGCTTTGAATGTCCTTGAGTGGCCCAGCCAGAGACCGGACTTGAACCCGATCAAACATCTCTGGAGAGACCTGAAAATAGCTTTGCAGCAACGCTCCCCATCCAACCTGATGTCATACCCAAGAACTCTCGAGGCTGTAATCGCTGCCAAAGGTGCTTCAACAAAGTACTGAGTAAAGGGTCTGAATACTTATGTAAATGTGATATTTCAGTTTTTATACATTTATGGGGTATTGTATGTAGATTGATGAGGAATAAGGCTGTAACGTAACAAAATGTGGAAAAAGTCAACGGGTCTGAATACGTTCAGAATGCACTGTATACAGTTAACACCCTGCTTACCGCTGAGTCTTTCTGGGTGCGTTGGCGAATGCCCCTGGCTCCAATCACCAGCTCTACTGACAGACTCCAGCCTTGCTGTGGACAAACAGTGGGGTTGCAAGTTAAGTTACATTTCAGACTTGTACAATGTCTGTCAAGTGAACCGAGAAAAAAGGAAAACCCAGCGCACGTCTAATTGTAGATTATTGTAGTGCTGGGATAGAAAAGTCAGCAGTTATGGACGAATGAGGAAGGTCCACACTTGGGTATTTGGCAGTGCATTTGAGGGTCAGGTATTTGGCAGTGCATTTGAGGGTCCGGTATTTGGCAGTGCATTTGAGGGTCAGGTGTTTCCAGTGTATCCTTGTTGTCTGTAAAGCCAGCGGCAACACTCACCACCAGTTCACAAGGGTAGACCTCTTCGCCAATGCTGAGGAAGTCTGTGAGTGTCTGGAAGAAGCGAACCACGCACTCCTCCTCCTTCAGTGCAGCATACTGCTGGAACGTCTGCTGGATCAGCTTCCGAAGGGGACGAGACTGGGACAGACCACGGCAACATTGGACAACACTTTCATAACCCTATTTTACTATGACGTCACGTGGTAAACAACGCTGCTAGCATAGAAATGATCAGAAATGATCCTTGTTGATATAATAGTGAAGTCGGCTCATTGACAACTCAATTTATGTTAGTAGAAACTTCCAATAATGTTTTTAACGATCGTGTGGATATCAAAATGTATAAATGTACCTTCATGCTGTCAATGAGCTCCTGTGGGAAGAACAGGTTCAGCCCCACGTCCTTCCTTCATTAGATAGACCAGTTATAATCAATCAAAACAATCAATCCAATGTGATAGAAAAGTCATAGAACTGAAGGTTAGTAGAAAAAAACATGTCAAATGTACATACTTACTCTAGCAATTCAAAGTTGGACTTTTTCTCCAGACCTTTAGCGTTCATGTCTTTATAAAACCTCCTGAAGGTGAAGCAGAGAGACAATAATGAAGCTCTATGGACAAACCCACTGTGATGTTGATGATGTCTACACATTGACAATACAATATCAAAGGAAAGCCCAACCTCACCTAATCTCCAGACAGCCCAGCTGCAGGGCCATCCCGTCACTGACTTTACTGGCATGATACTGCATGTAGTCACTACGCACCTAACACAGGCAATACCGAGAGAACACATTAAATCTGTCTGTAGTCACAATGCATCTACAGTATCCACACAAGGCCAAGACATCAGTGAGTTATCTTTAGATGATGAAGTTCTGGAAAGTATTAATGTGTTCTCTCCATAGTCAGAGTATTAATGTGTTCTCTACATAAAGTATTAATGTGTTCTCTACATAGTCAGAGTATTAATGTGTTCTCTACATAGAGTAATAATGTGTTCTCTATATAGAGTATTAATGTGTTCTCTACATATAGTATTAATGTGTTCTCTACATAGTCTGAGTATTAATGTGTTCTCTACATATAGTATTAATGTGTTCTCTACATAGTCAGAGTATTAATGTGTTCTCTACATAGAGTATTAATGTGTTCTCTACATAGAGTATTAATGTGTTCTCTACATAGTCAGTATTAATGTGTTCTCTACATAGATTATTAATGTGTTCTCTACATAGAGTATTAATGTGTTCTCTACATAGAGTATTAATGTGTTCTCTACATGGAGTATTAATGTGTTCTCTACATAGAGTATTAATGTGTTCTCTACATAGTCAGAGTATGAATGTGTTCTCTACATAGTCAGAGTATTAATGTGTTCTCTACATATAGTATTAATGTGTTCTCTACATAGAGTATTAATGTGTTCTCTACATAGAGTATTAATGTGTTCTCTACATAGTCAGATTATTAATGTGTTCTCTACATAGAGTATTAATGTGTTCTCTACATAGTCAGAGTATTAATGTGTTCTCTACATAGTCAGAGTATGAATGTGTTCTCTACATAGTCAGTATTAATGTGTTCTCTACATAGAGTATTAATGTGTTCTCTACATAGTCAGAGTATTAATGTGTTCTCTACATAGTCAGTATGAATGTGTTCTCTACATAGAGTATTAATGTGTTCTCTACATAGAGTATTAATGTGTTCTCTACATAGTCAGAGTATTAATGTGTTCTCTACATAGTCAGTATTAATGTGTTCTCTACATAGTTAGATTATTAATGTGTTCTCTACATAGTCAGTATGAATGTGTTCTCTACATAGAGTATTAATGTGTTCTCTACATAGTCAGAGTAGTAATGTGTTCTCTACATAGTCAGAGTATTAATGTGTTCTCTACATAGTCAGTATTAATGTGTTCTCTACATAGTCAGAGTATTAATGTGTTCTCTACATAGTCAGTATGAATGTGTTCTCTACATAGAGTATTAATGTGTTCTCTACATAGTCAGAGTAGTAATGTGTTCTCTACATAGTCAGAGTATTAATGTGTTCTCTACATAGAGTATTAATGTGTTCTCTACATAGTCAGAGTATTAATGTGTTCTCTACATAGTCAGAGTATTAATGTGTTCTCTACATAGTCAGAGTATTAATGTGTTCTCTACATAGTCAGAGTATTAATGTGTTCTCTACATAGTCAGAGTATTAATGTGTTCTCTACATAGTCAGAGTATTAATGTGTTCTCTCCATAGTCAGAGTATTAATGTGTTCTCTCCATAGTCAGAGTATTAATGTGTTCTCTACATAGTCAGAGTATTAATGTGTTCTCTACATAGTCAGAGTAGTAATGTGTTCTCTACATAGTCAGAGTAGTAATGTGTTCTCTACATAGTCAGAGTAGTAATGTGTTCTCTACATAGAGTATTAATGTGTTCTCTACATAGTCAGTATTAATGTGTTCTCTACATAGTCAGTATGAATGTGTTCTCTACATAGAGTATTAATGTGTTCTCTACATAGTCAGGGTATTAATGTGTTCTCTACATAGTCAGAGTATTAATGTGTTCTCTACATAGTCAGGGTATTAATGTGTTCTCTACATAGTCAGTATGAATGTGTTCTCTACATAGTCAGTATGAATGTGTTCTCTACATAGTCAGAGTATTAATGTGTTCTCTACATAGAGTATTAATGTGTTCTCTACATAGTCAGAGTATTAATGTGTTCTCTACATAGTCAGAGTATTAATGTGTTCTCTACATAGTCAGTATGAATGTGTTCTCTACATAGTCAGTATTAATGTGTTCTCTCTACATAGTCAGAGTATTAATGTGTTCTCTACATAGAGTATTAATGTGTTCTCTACTAGTAGATGTAATGTGTTCTGTCTACATAGTCAGAGTATTAATGTGTTCTCACATAGAGTATTAATGTGTTCTCTACATAGTCAGAGTATAATGTGTTCTCTACATTCAGAGTATAATGTGTTCTCTACAAGTATTAATGTGTTCTCTACATAGAGTATTAATGTGTTCTCTACATAGTCAGAGTATTAATGTGTTCTCTACATAGTCAGTATGAATGTGTTCTCTACATAGTCAGTATGAATGTGTTCTCTACATAGAGTATTAATGTGTTCTCTACATAGTCAGAGTAGTAATGTGTTCTCTACATAGTCAGAGTATTAATGTGTTCTCTACATAGAGTATTAATGTGTTCTCTACATAGTCAATATGAATGTGTTCTCTACATAGAGTATTAATGTGTTCTCTACATAGAGTATTAATGTGTTCTCTACATAGTCAGAGTATTAATGTGTTCTCTACATAGTCAGTATGAATGTGTTCTCTACATAGAGTATTAATGTGTTCTCTACATAGTCAGAGTAGTAATGTGTTCTCTACATAGTCAGAGTATTAATGTGTTCTCTACATAGAGTATTAATGTGTTCTCTACATAGTCAGAGTAGTAATGTGTTCTCTCCATAGTCAGAGTAGTAATGTGTTCTCTACATAGTCAGAGTATTAATGTGTTCTCTACATAGTCAGTATTAATGTGTTCTCTACATAGTCAGGGAGTATTAATGTGTTCTCTACATAGTCAGTATGAATGTGTTCTCTACATAGAGTATTAATGTGTTCTCTACATAGTCAGAGTAGTAATGTGTTCTCTACATAGAGTATTAATGTGTTCTCTACATAGAGTAGTAATGTGTTCTCTACATAGTCAGAGTAGTAATGTGTTCTCTCCATAGTCAGAGTAGTAATGTGTTCTCTACATAGTCAGAGTATTAATGTGTTCTCTACATAGTCAGTATTAATGTGTTCTCTACATAGTCAGAGTATTAATGTGTTCTCTACATAGTCAGTATGAATGTGTTCTCTACATAGAGTATTAATGTGTTCTCTACATAGTCAGAGTAGTAATGTGTTCTCTACATAGAGTATTAATGTGTTCTCTACCATAGAGTAGTAATGTGTTCTCTACATAGTCAGAGTAGTAATGTGTTCTCTCCATAGTCAGATAGTAATGTGTTTCTCTACATGAGGTATTAATGTGTTCTCTACATAGTAGTAGTAATGTGTTCTCTACATAGTCAGAGTAGTAATGTGTTCTCATAGTAGAGTATTAATGTGTTCTCTACATAGTCAGTATTAATGTGTTCTCTACATAGTCAGAGTATTAATGTGTTCTCTCATATCAGAGTATTAATGTGTTCTCTACATAGTCAGGTATTAATGTGTTCTCTACATAGTCAGAGTAGTAATGTGTTCTCTAGCATAATGTGTTCTCAAGAGTATTAATGTGTTCTCTACATAGAGATATAATGTGTTCTCTACATAGTCAGAGTATAATGTGTTCTCTACATAGTCAGTATTAATGTGTTCTCTACATAGTCAGTATTAATGTGTTCTCTACATAGTCAGTATGAATGTGTTCTCTACATAGAGTATTAATGTGTTCTCTACATAGTCAGGTATAATGTGTTCTCTACATAGTCGAGTATTAATGTGTTCTCTACATAGTCAGGGTATTAATGTGTTTCTCTCATAGAGTATGAATGTGTTCTCTACATAGTAGAGTATAATGTGTTCTCTACAAGTCAGTTAATGTTTTTCAAGAGTATTAATGTGTTCTCTACATAGTCAGGTATAATGTGTTCTCTACATAGTCAGAGTATAATGTGTTCTCTACATAGTCAGAGTATTAATGTGTTCTCTACATAGAGTATTAATGTGTTCTCTACATAGTCAGGTATTAATGTGTTCTCTAATAGTCAGAGTATTAATGTGTTCTCTACATAGTCAGAGTATTAATGTGTTCTCTACATAGAGTATGTAATGTGTTCTTACATAGTCAGTAGTAGTTAATGTGTTCTCTACATAGTCAGAGTTAGTAATGTGTTCTCTACATAGTCAGGTATTAATGTGTTCTCTACATAGAGTATTAATGTGTTCTCTACATAGTCAGTATGAATGTGTTCTCTACATAGTCAGTATGAATGTGTTCTCTCCATAGTCAGAGTATTAATGTGTTCTCTACATAGTCAGAGTATTAATGTGTTCTCTACATAGAGTATTAATGTGTTCTCTACATAGTCAGAGTAGTAATGTGTTCTCTCATAGTCAGAGTATAATGTGTTCTCTACATAGTCAGGTATTAATGTGTTCTCTACATAGTAGAGTTAATGTGTTCTCTACATAGTCAGAGTATTAATGTGTTCTCTACATAGTCAGAGTATTAATGTGTTCTCTACATAGTCAGGTATAATGTGTTCTCTACATAGAGTATAATGTGTTCTCTACATAGAGTATTAATGTGTTCTCTACATAGTCAGAGTATTAATGTGTTCTCTACATAGTCAGTATGAATGTGTTCTCTACATAGAGTATTAATGTGTTCTCTACATAGTCAGGGTATTAATGTGTTCTCTACATAGTCAGAGTATTAATGTGTTCTCTACATAGTCAGGGTATTAATGTGTTCTCTCCATAGAGTATGAATGTGTTCTCTACATAGAGTATTAATGTGTTCTCTACATAGTCAGAGTATTAATGTGTTCTCTACATAGTCAGTATGAATGTGTTCTCTACATAGTCAGTATGAATGTGTTCTCTCCATAGTCAGAGTATTAATGTGTTCTCTACATAGAGTAGTAATGTGTTCTCTACATAGTCAGAGTATTAATGTGTTCTCTACATAGTCAGAGTATTAATGTGTTCTCTACATAGTCAGAGTATTAATGTGTTCTCTACATAGTCAGGGTATTAATGTGTTCTCTACATAGAGTATTAATGTGTTCTCTACATAGTCAGAGTATTAATGTGTTCTCTACATAGTCAGATTATTAATGTGTTCTCTACATAGAGTATTAATGTGTTCTCTCCATAGAGTATGAATGTGTTCTCTACATAGAGTATTAATGTGTTCTCTACATAGTCAGAGTATTAATGTGTTCTCTACATAGTCAGTATGAATGTGTTCTCTCCATAGTCAGAGTATTAATGTGTTCTCTACATAGAGTAGTAATGTGTTCTCTACATAGTCAGAGTATTAATGTGTTCTCTACATAGTCAGAGTATTAATGTGTTCTCTACATAGTCAGAGTATTAATGTGTTCTCTACTAGTCAGAGTATTAATGTGTTCTCTACATAGTCAGAGTATTAATGTGTTCTCTACATAGTCAGAGTATTAATGTGTTCTCTACATAGTCAGAGTATTAATGTGTTCTCTACATAGTCAGAGTAGTAATGTGTTCACTACATAGTCAGTATGAATGTGTTCTCTACATAGAGTATTAATGTGTTCTCTACATAGTCAGTATTAATGTGTTCTCTACATAGTCAGTATGAATGTGTTCTCTACATAGAGTATTAATGTGTTCTCTACATAGTCAGGGTATTAATGTGTTCTCTACATAGTCAGAGTATTAATGTGTTCTCTACATAGTCAGGGTATTAATGTGTTCTCTCCATAGTCAGGGTAGTGCTTGCTGCCTACCGTACCTGTTGATAGAAATACAGCAGTGTGGTTTTGTCTTCTTTAAACTTTTCCAGGAAGTTGACTGGAATGTAGCGGACTCTCAGGTCATACCTGGGGAGAGATGACCATACCACTGCTTTAGAGTAGGAGTCTTCAACTGAACCGTATTCGTCAATACAATTATCATTGTTCCCAGGGACGGCCTGTTCAATAGGGCGATATGGGCGATGCACTGCCAAACGGGAAAAGGAAGGGATTTTTTTCCTAATCAATTATATCACGGCAACAGTAGTTATCAGTGTTCACGTCTGATCTGCCAGCCACTAAATGTCAAATCAGGCTAAAGTCGTGCTTCAAATGGCCCCGCCCGTTTTTGGGGCGATTTCAGTCAAGTTGAAAATCGCCCAGAAGTCTCTCATAGCCTGTCATGTAAAATCTATTTTTTTCAAATTTCAAAGCTTTCAATACATTCTCTATGGGTGTCTGTGGGCTTGCACTTACGCGCTTTCGTCATACGTGACGTAACCATGAACGTAACTAAGACAATAGCGGCTAGCAGCGTCTCTGTTGCGACCTGCAGTGTGGCGTTATTTTATGTTTTTAATTTGTAGACTTAGTTTACAAACATTCTGCCAACCATGGATTTCCAGTGGTTGGTTTTGGACTGATCTTGTTGATCGTGTACATACCCGCTACGAACGGACTAAATAATGAAAACGCTGCTGGCAGCGGAATCCCAATACAGCTGGGAGACTTGGCTGGATGACAGAGTCCCGGACAGAGAAGTGGAGCCGGCCGGCTTCACCCTGGTCAGAGCGGACCGCGATCCTGGTAAGAGAGCGACTCTGTACCCCGACATTGAACTGCTTTCTGTGTCATTGCGACCTTACTATCTGCCCCGTGAGTTCCCCCAATTGTTTGTTACCGTTGTGTACTGTTGATAATCACAAGTTTACTGGAGAACTGAGACCAAGTAGAGACTTTGGACAGGGTGGATATGGTATAATAAAGGCAGTTTATTCAGAGGTAAAGATATCTGGAATCGCGTGCACGGACTCGTTCGTCAAACTCTTAGGGAGAAGAGAGCCCCGAAAACATTGTGTGCAGACATTTTATACAATAAATGATGTAGGTTGAATCTAGTAGTTCTGATCTTCTGATTGGTCCTGATGAGTTGGGCGAGGTCCCCTCCACTGTTGCATTGGCTCTGAGTCGGGTTCTCTGTCTTCAAATGTTCAGCCTAAAGAGAGGGGATTTTTGTGTGTGTGTGTGTGTGTGTGTGTGTGTGTTTAACAGTGATGATGTGTGTGTGTGTGTGTGTTATCAGTGATGATGTGTGTGTGTGTGTGTGTGTGTGTCCTCAGAGCAAGAACTCGTGAGTTGGAAGAACTGAGAGACCTATGGCGTGGGTGTTGTCCTTGGCCACCTGCTGACAAGGCTGACAAGATAGGACTCTTTTGTCCATTGTTATAGGATAGGAACAGCATTGATTGAAAACAAACGTCCCAACACAAAATGGGTCATGCACAAGATTTTAGTCAGACCAAGCTATAACATTATATATTTACTACGACAGTACATTCAACCAAAAGCTAATATAACAAAGGCATCAGAGATTATTTATAATCTGTCACAGAAACTGGAATCCATCTCCCCAGATCAGTCAATAAATGCTTCTGGTATTGACTTATATGCTGCCCCTGTCTTCATGTTGTTGCTGGACATATCTTTTTTAAAATGTGTGTAGGTCACCTAAATCATCAGAAAAATTGCCCCTCCTGAGAATTTTTTCAGGAGCCGCCACTGATTGTTCCTGACTACTTCCTCTCGCTCAACCTGGGCTGCGTCTCAAATGGCTCCGTATATTATCCATCATGTGCATTACTTTCTCTCACCCTCCTCTCCTCCACCCTCCTCTCACCCCCACCTCCTCCACTCCCACCTCCTCCACCCTCCTCTCACCCCTACCTCCTTCACCCTCCTCACCCCCACCCTCCTCTCACCCCTACCTCCTCCACCCTCCTCACCCCCACCTCCTCCACCCCTCCTCTAACCCCTACCTCCACCACTCATCTCACCCCCACCACTCCTGCACCTTCCTCTCACCCCCACCACTCCTCCACCCTCCTCTAACCCCCACCTCCTCTACTCCTCCACTGACACCCACCTCCTCCTCCTCACCCCCACCTCCACCCTCCTCTCACCCCCACCTCCCCTCCTCCACCCACTCCTCCACCCTCCTCTCACCCCCACCTCCTCCACCCCTCCTCTCACCTCCACTCTGCCTCCACGTGGTGACTCTCATAGCGTTGCTCCACCTCCCCCACGGTCAGGTCTGGATGGAGCCAGTGAAGCTCGTCTGACTTGAGGTGCTTCAGCAGCAGGCCATAGCAGCCTTTATACAGGATGTTAGGGCCCAGCCTACCACTGGTCAGGATAGACTGCACTATAGCCTGGAGGAGACCAGTATGGAGTCAGTCACAGCTAGAATTTGGGGGGCTAGTCTGCAAAGCTATATAGTTGGTTTAAAGTAGTGTATTCTTACAATGTTACAACTAAATAACTAAGTACGCAGTCACAGTATCTAGACAATCCCTCACCCTGATCTGCCAGGAGCTGTCACACTTGACCAGCTTGAAGTTCTTCCCCAGGGTGTTGTTGGTGGAGAAACAGACTTTGAGGATCTTGGTGGGCCCTCCCTCCTCGCTGAAGGGGCTTTGTTGTGGGCCATTGTTGTGGCCGGGGCTGGGTAGCCTCCAGGACAGGGTGGTAGTGTCTCCTTGCATCACCTCATACATTCTCAGGGCAGAGAGGAGGACAACGTTAAACTGTATTCATACCTGGGGAGAGGGGAGAGAGAGAGAGAGAGAGAGAGAGAGAGAGAGAGAGGGGGGAGAGGAGGGCAATGTCACACTGATATCATACCTGGGAGAGGGAGAGAGAGAGAGGGAGAAGGGGGGAGGGGGGGGGGGGAGGGGAGAGCGAGGGGGAGAGGAAGGGCAATGTCACATGATATCATACCTGGGAGAATGGAGAGAGGCGAAGCGAGGGGGAGAGAGGGCATGTCACACTGATATCTACCTGGGAAGAGGGGAGAGAGGGGGGGGGGGGAGCCGGGGGATCTAGAGGAGGGCAATGTCAACAGAGATCCATACCGGGGAGAGAGAGGGAGAGAGGGAGAGGAGGAGGGGGAGGAAGGGGAGGAAGGGGGGGAGAGGGGGAGAGGAGAGGGGGGAGAGGAGGAGAGAGCTGAGAGGGGGAGAGATGAGAGGGGGAGAGAGGAGAGGAAGAGGAGGAGAGGAGAGGGAGGAGGAGCGAGCGAGGGGGGGGGGAAGAGGAGGGGCAATGTCACATGATATCATTACCTGGGGAGAGGGAGAGAGAGAGACGAGAGAGAGAGAGAGAGAGGAGAGGAGGAGGAGATGAGGGGGGAGAGAGGAGAGGGGGGGGGGGGCGGAGAGAGAGAGAGGGGGGGGGGGGGAGGAGAGAGAGAGAGAGGGGGGGGAGGAGCGACGCGGAGAGGAGAGAGAGAGGAGAGGGAGAGAGAGAAATTGGTTCGGCCCGTGGGCTTGCTATATCAAGCAGACAGGCATCGAGGCATTCAGTTACTGTTCTATTGAACGTTAGAATGGGCAAAACGAGTGACCTAAGTGACTTTGAGCGTGGTATGATCATTGGTGCCTTGTGCGTCGGTTCCAGTATCTCAGAAACAGCCGGCCTCCTGGGCTTTTCACGCACGACAGTGTCTAGAGTTTACAGAGAATGGTGCGACAAACAAAAAACATCCAGTCAGCAGCAGTCCTGTGGGCAAAAACAGCTCGTTGGTGAGAGGTTGAAGGAGAATGGCAAGAATCGTGCAAGCTAACAGGTGGGCCACAAACAGACAAATAACGGCGCAGAACGGCATCTCGGAACGCACAACTCGTTGATCCCTGTCACGGATGGGCTATTGCAGCAGACGACCACACCGGGTTCCACTCCTATCAGCTAAAAACAAGAAGAAGCGGCTCCACTGGGCACGCCATCACCAACACTGGACAAATGAGGAGTGTTAAAATATTGCCTGATTCGACGAATCCTGGTTCCTGTTGCGTCATGCTGATGGCAGAGTCAGGATCTGGCATAAGCAGCATGAGTCCATGGCCCCATCCTGCCTGGTGTCAACTGTACAGGCTGGTGGCGGTGGTGTAATGGTGTGGGGAATGTTTTCCTGGCACACGTTAGGTTCCTTGATACCAATTGAGCATCGTTTCCATGCCCTGAATCATTCAGGCTGTTCTGAAGGCAAAGGGGGTCCTACCCGGTACACCAACCCGGTGTACCTCATAAACTGGCCACTGAGCGTATCTAATTTTCCATGTGATGGAGACAAATCACAAAATGTTTTGAGTAATGGAAACATTCCAGGTAGACGTCACAGCTCTCATACTTTCAACGTTAATGTGCTTTACATACGAGTATAACTTATACAATAGTAACACCTGTGATGGAACATTATGTTGGTGCTTTTCTATTTACCAATTTCTATGTTTGTGCTTTTCTATTTACCAATTTCTATGTTTGTGCTTTTCTATTTACCAATTTCTGTGTTCTATGTTTGTGCTTTTCTATTTACCAATTTCTGTGTTCTGTTTGTGCTTTTCTATTTACCAATTTCTATGTTCTATGTTTGTGCTTTTCTATTTACCAATTTCTGTGTTCTATGTTTGTGCTTTTCTATTTACCAATTTCTGTGTTCTGTTTGTGCTTTTCTATTTACCAATTTCTATGTTCTATGTTTGTGCTTTTCTATTTACCAATTTCTATGTTCTATGTTTGTGCTTTTCTATTTACCAATTTCTATGTTCTATGTTTGTGCTTTTCTATTTACCAATTTCTATGTTCTATGTTTGTGCTTTTCTATTTACCAATTTCTATGTTCTATGTTTGTGCTTTTCTATTTACCAATTTCTATGTTCTATGTTTGTGCTTTTCTATTTACCAATTTCTATGTTCTATGTTTGTGCTTTTCTATTTACCAATTTCTGTGTTATGTTTGTGCTTTTCTATTTACCAATTTCTATGTTCTATGTTTGTGCTTTTCTATTTACCAATTTCTGTGTTCTATGTTTGTGCTTTTCTATTTACCAATTTCTGTGTTCTATGTTTGTGCTTTTCTATTTACCAATTTCTGTGTTCATGCAAGTGACTGATTGAACTAACCCTCACTATCAGCATCTGCAATTTGGCAGTACGCCCAGACCCTTGTTTTGATATCGCAGTTTTCAAGGTCTCAGCTTAGAGAAGAAGCCTCGTGAGGTATTGGTCTGTCACATACATGACCCAGTATTGGTCGGCCACATGAACGAAGCAAACGTTAATGATCAATTAATTAATGATGAATAAGCTAAATCATGAAAATATGACTTGTCTGCAGTATATAAGAGAACTGAACGGGACTGCCCCATTAGAGCTCCTGACAGACGTTCACAATGATTCATTTAAGACTGACTTTGAGTGTCCCTGTGTAAGAATTTCCACGACACACGTTATATTAGTAACAATACTATGCTGCGTGGTGTATAGTAATCAGATAGGGTTCTGACTCACTTCCCAGTCGAGTCACAGATCTTGATCTACTGATAGCCTTTCCTGTCTCTCTGTGTTCATGTGAAGGCCTGTGTGAGTCAGAAGGTAAGCTCGCATGGCAGTGCACAGGCCTACACGTCACACGGTTGGTTATGTTTCCACTTGCCATTGCAGAAATACGTATTCAACTTGGTCATGCTCGCAGGTAGGGAGATGATCACAAATGTCAATTCTTCCCAGTCTGATACTGACATGCAAGTGGTAGGTCACGTTCTGAAATACTGTACTCTATTGTCATATTTATAATGTGTAGGAGTTCACTATGTCCATGTCCTGGTTTGTGTATATATGTGTACGGTACCTGGTAAATATTGGGGGCATCCTGGGATGTGCTTTTGTTTGTTACTGCTCTAAGAGTGAGTTAGCTGGCATTCTCAAGATATAATGGTCTCATTGGTCCCTGCTAATATACAATTATTTCCATGCTACAGACGAATCACAAATTTACAGCCATCAACATACTGTTGCACATCTAATCTAACATCTAATGTGCTTCCTTGTGTCTATTGTCAGAATAAACACCAATCAACTGGGCTCGCTGGCTGGACAGGCCTTTCTTTAAAAACACAACGCAAGAGAGTTACGAAGTACGATCACATCTGTTAAATACACACACCACTTTTACAAGAGAGCTACGACGTACGGTCATATCTGTTAAACACACACACCACTTTCACAAGAGTTACGACGTACGATCACATCTGTTAAACACCACTTTGAGTATCAAAATGAACCAACATCTTTGGGTTTGTGAAACGGGCCAGTCCCTTTCTAAATGCAACGCAAACAAAAACCCATATGAAACAATAACAACTCTGTCAGGGAAAAACACCCCAATGAAGCCATGAGAACTTTAACTAACATTACACTAGCAGTAAGTACATAACTAACATTACACTGGCAGTAAGGATATAACTAACATTACACTGGCAGTAAGGATATAACTAACATTGCACTGGCAGTAAGGCCATAACTAACATTACACTGGCAGTAAGGACATAACTAACATTACACTGGCAGTAAGGATATAACTAACATTACACTGGCAGTAAGTACATAACTAACATTACACTGGCAGTAAGGGCATAACTAACATTACACTAGCAGTAAGGGCATAACTAACATTACACTAGCAGTAAGGCCATAACTAACATTACACTGGCAGTAAGGACATAACTAACATTACACTGGCAGTAAGGATATAACTAACATTACACTAGCAGTAAGGATATAACTAACATTGCACTGGCAGTAAGGACATAACTAACATTACACTGGCAGTAAGGATATAACTAACATTACACTGGCAGTAAGGACATAACTAACATTACACTGGCAGTAAGGATATAACTAACATTACACTAGCAGTAAGGATATAACTAACATTGCACTGGCAGTAAGGCCATAACTAACATTACACTGGCAGTAAGGACATAACTAACATTACACTGGCAGTAAGGATATAACTAACATTACACTAGCAGTAAGGATATAACTAACATTACACTGGCAGTAAGGCCATAACTAACATTACACTGGCAGTAAGGGAATAACTAACATTACACTGGCAGTAAGGGAATAACTAACATTACACTGGCAGTAAGGATATAACTAACATTACACTAGCAGTAAGGATATAACTAACATTACACTGGCAGTAAGTACATAACTAACATTACACTGGCAGTAAGGATATAACTAACATTACACTGGCAGTAAGGCCATAACTAACATTACACTAGCAGTAAGGACATAACTAACATTACACTGGCAGTAAGGACATAACTAACATTACACTGGCAGTAAGGGCATAACTAACATTACACTGGCAGTAAGGACATAACTAACATTACACTGGCAGTAAGGACATAACTAACATTACACTGGCAGTAAGGGCATAACTAACATTACACTGGCAGTAAGGCCATAACTAACATTACACTGGCAGTAAGGCCATAACTAACATTACACTGGCAGTAAGGCCATAACTAACCTTACACTGGCAGTAAGGCCATAACTAACATTACACTGGCAGTAAGGGCCATAACTAAAATTACACTGGCAGTACGGCCATAACTAACATTACAACTGGCAGTAAAGGATAAACTAACATTACACTAGCAGTAAGGATATAACTAACATTACACTGGCAGTAAGGCCATAAACTAACATTACACTGGCAGTAAGGGCATAATAACATTACACTGGCAGTAAGGGCATAACTAACATTACACTGGCGTAAGTTTTAACCTGGCCAGTATAACTAACATTACACTGGCAGTAAGGCATAACTAACATTACACTGGCAGTAAGGCCATAACTAACATTACACTGGCAGTAAGGAAATAACTAACATTACACTAGCAGTAAGGACATAACTAACATTACACTGGCAGTAAGGACATAACTAACATTACACTGGCAGTGAGGATATAACTAACATTACACTGGCAGTAAGGCCATAACTAACATTACACTAGCAGTAAGGACATAACTAACATTGCACTGGCAGTAAGGCCATAACTAACATTACACTGGCAGTAAGGACATAACTAACATTACACTGGCAGTAAGGACATAACTAACATTACACTGGCAGTAAGGATATAACTAACATTGCACTGGCAGTAAGGATATAACTAACATTGCACTGGCAGTAAGGCCATAACTAACATTACACTAGCAGTAAGGACATAACTAACATTACACTGGCAGTAAGGCCATAACTAACATTACACTGGCAGTAAGGACATAACTAACATTACACTGGCAGTAAGGATATAACTAACATTACACTGGCAGTAAGGACATAACTAACATTACACTGGCAGTAAGGCCATAACTAACATTACACTGGCAGTAAGGCCATAACTAACATTAACCTGGCAGTAAGGCCATAACTAACATTACACTGGCAGTAAGGATATAACTAACATTACACTGGCAGTAAGGATATAACTAACATTACACTGGCAGTAAGGACATAACTAACATTACGCTGGCAGTAAGGACATAACTAACATTACACTGGCAGTAAGGCCATAACTAACATTACACTAGCAGTAAGGATATAACTAACATTACACTGGCAGTAAGGCCATAACTAACATTACACTGGCAGTAAGGACATAACTAACATTACACTGGCAGTAAGGACATAACTAACATTACACTGGCAGTAAGGACATAACTAACATTACACTGGCAGTAAGGATATAACTAACATTACACTAGCAGTAAGGATATAACTAACATTACACTGGCAGTAAGGCCATAACTAACATTACACTGGCAGTAAGGATATAACTAACATTACACTGGCAGTAAGGCCATAACTAACATTACACTGGCAGTAAGGACATAACTAACATTACACTGGCAGTAAGGACATAACTAACATTACACTGGCAGTAAGGACATAACTAACATTACACTGGCAGTAAGGACATAACTAACATTACACTGGCAGTAAGGACATAACTAACATTACACTGGCAGTAAGGACATAACTAACATTACACTGGCAGTAAGGATATAACTAACATTACACTGGCAGTAAGGAGAAAAGGGGACAAAGCTGTTACGCAACAAGCACGCTTTCCCACGGTCCATTTTTTTCTGCAGTGTGTTCTGTAGTGAGGCACAAACCTGGGTTCAAATAACATTAGAAATCTTTCAAATCATGTTAGCGTTTGCTCTGGTCTGCCTGGAAATACCACATGGTCGGGGGTTTGCACTTTTGCGATTATTCTATTGGTTGGATTGTGCAAGGCAAGCTTAATCAAGCCCAGAGAAAGTATTTGAAATTATTTTGAATAGTATTTGAACCCAGGTCTGGTGAGGCAAGCTGTGGTCTGCATTGAGCCAATTCTGTCCTTGAGAATCACACCTCAACAGAAAATATGTCCCGAAGATTACAGCAGATTCTGTACTAACCAATCAACAACCAACGGGCTGTGTTCAACAAACAACTGATGATTGATTGCAAGCAGTCATTGTGGTTTTAAGACTAACCGAGGGTACACAGCTATGCTCCTGGACATGCTCCTGCGACTAACAGTATCTCTACACTTAGTATGCCAAACATTAAGAACACCTTCCTAATATTGAGATGCGCGCCCCCCGCCCACCCCCCCCCGCCCCCTTCAAATTGTCTCAAAGCTTACAAAATCCTTATTTAACCCGTCTCCTCCCGTTCATCTACACTGATTGAAGTGGATTTAACAAGTCACATCAATAAGGGATCGTAGCTTTCACCTGGTCAGTCCATGTCATGGAAAGAGCAGGTGTTCTTAATGTTTTGTACACTCAAGAGTATATTCTACGCTAAGAGTCTGTGCCTTGGTTAAACTGGTGCGAAAGTATAAAGGAAAGGAAACGATACCCAAACAAAAGTAGTTCCATACTTCTCTCAAATGAAGGCAGAGGTTGCATAAGAACCAGTACGAACAGTCCAAACAGTTACAGTAACCAATACAGTACATACCTGGACAGGACCTGGTCAGCATCACTGGCTAACACAGTATAACACTCCCAATACAGTACATACCTGGACAGGACCTGGTCAGCATCACTGGCTAACACAGTATAACACTCCCAATACAGTTCATACCTGGACAGGACCTGGTCAGCATCACTGCTAACACAGTATAACTTCCAATATTAATCAACATGGACAGGACTGTAGCATTCACTGGTTACACCTGTACCAATACTGTAGAAACCTGTACAGACCTGGTTAGTACCTAACAGTATAATTCTACCAATAAGTCTGTAGCTGGAAACTGTGCAGCATCAATGGAACAAGTATAACCACTCAATACAGTAATCCGGAACTCCTAAATCAGGGATCACGGGCTAACACATAAGAACAGTCCCAATTACATACAGAACCTACAGGACCTGTCGCATCACTGGAACACAGTATACACTATCCCAATTACCAATAATACATACATAGTCAAATGTCTGCATCAGGCTACCAGTATAACCATTACCACAGTACATACCTGGACTGGCCTGACAGTCATCGACTACCATATAGGACTCCAATACGTAATACTGGACGGTCTGGTCAGAGCACTGGCTAACAGTATACACCCCATCAGTACATAGTTTGAGTCGTGCGTTTCAGCAGGTGCGTTTCATCGGCTACACAGTAATAATACTCCCAATTACCAATACAGCACATACCTGGACAGGACCTGGTCATCATCACTGGCTAACACAGTATAATACTCCCAATTACCAATACAGTACATACCTGGACAGGACCTGGTCAGCATCACTGGCGAACACAGTATAACACTCCAATGTACAATCCCCACATACCTGGACGGACCTGGTCATCATCACTGGCTAAACAACAGTATAACACTCCCAATTTACCATACAAGACAGCACATACCTGGCGGACCTGGTCCAGCAATCACTGGCTAACACATATAACACCTCCCAATTACCAATACAGTACATACCTGGACAGGACCTGGTCAGCATCACTGGCTAACACAGTATAATACTCCCAATTATAGTTCAAAATAGTCTGCAGCAGCTACGCAGTACGTCACCTTAGCAGTCTTCCCATAGAAATCTGGCTGACATGTTATCACTCCATAATGAGGCCCTGGGTTATGTATGCTAGGTCTGTCTGTCTGTCGGAGAGCAGAGCTGAGCTGTGTTTCAGTCCACATGTTTCAGTCAGTGTGTTTCAGTCGGTGCGTTTCAGTCGGTGCGTTTCAGTCGGTGTGTTTCAGTCGGTGTGTTTCAGTCGGTGCGTTTCAGTCGGTGCGTTTCAGTCGGTGCGTTTCAGTCGGTGTGTTTCAGTCGGTGCGTTTCAGTCCGTC